TCTGGAGGAACAAGAGGGAAAAGTGTCCTGATGAGATTAGACAGTGAACAGAGAGAGACACAGATAGATGACAGGCGACAGCAGGGCCGCAGAGGAAGCAGCAGTGAACCACAGCACTGAACACTTCATACGCTGGAGTTCACTGCCTTTGTTCAGTTGCAGATCCAGCAGCCGCTCCGAGTGACTGTGTCACACTGTGCGGAGCAAACGCAGAGAGAGCCAGGAGCCAGGTGTCTCTTCCAGGTCAGACAGAATGGAGCGGATGCTTTGTGAGTCAGATACTCAATAAATGTTTTTTTTGGGTGTGGGTGAAGAAATAAAAGCAAGATTCCAGGGCCAAAGATAAAAACTGGGATGCGTGGAGACTTTGTTTTGTTTTTCTGCCAATGGTTTACAGAACAGAAATATTAGTGTGTATAACTGTAGTATTATGAGTAGGGAAATGAATTATAGCATACTAGAGGGCTTGGTGCACGAAATTCGTGCATTGGGTGGGGGTCCCTCAGACTGTTTTCTCGCAGTCTGGGAGCCCTTGGGGGGATGTCTGACTGATGGCTTAGGCCCGCGGGAGCCCCCTGAGTGCACTAATGTCATGCACCAGACCTCTAGTGAAGGGTGTAATATAATGTCTTTGTTAATCATTGAAATCTCTAAAAATATGGTATATCTTGTCTTCCTGGTACACATGAGAAGGAAATTATTTCATAATTCTTTGAGGTCTTTTTTGGGGGAAGGGAAGAATAAATAATAAAAGCAAATTTGTCCTTTTGACAGTAGAAAAGTGAATGGTAACTACACCAGACATGACTGAATTGCTTCCCTTTGCCCCAGTATCTAAAGACATAGGCTTATCATTCTGATAGGTCTGTGTTTAAAGTGAGGACTTGAACTCTATGCAACAGCTAAATAACTTAGAAATGTGTAAGGAAAACCAGGCTTTTCCATCGAGTAAACTGTTCTTAAACACCATTGTGTGTTTTTAAGCTCAAAGGCTGGGGGAAGACGTAGGACAGATTTTTCTGAGGACTGAGTAAAACACTAGAGAAGCCAAAAGGCTCTGTGCTAAGGAACCTATTGAACCTATAGAATTTCTCTGAGGCTTCAAAACGAGTCCACTGCATATTGAAGTTGGTGTTTTCCTGTCATCTCACAGCGTTTTAAAAATAGTCACTCTGTATGCGGCCTTTTATGCACGGTCGAGCCCAGTAGCTTCCTTACCAAGGGTTGGACATTCTTAGCTATGACCCAAGAGTTCCACCAAAGCATGTCTTTTGTTGTATTGTGAGATTTTATGTAATGCTACAAAGATTGGTATACGAGAAATTTTACTTCTATTTCATAGAGATTTGTAGCTAATGCTGTATTTAAAATTGACCTTTGTTTATTAAATAGATCCTTAGAGGAGAATAGTGCTCCTAAATCAGGAGGCCTATTTGGCTTGAGAATTAGGTAAATATTCATGTTTGCTTCTGAATATTTTGGATCATTATTTCCTGTACCTGCCGCATTTCCAGCCTAATGCCTTTGAAGTTCTGATTGCTAATTAATTGAGGCTTTTGTTTTTCTTCAGGAGATTCAATGTTGTTAATTAAAAGTTTAAATGGTTTTTCTTATCCGTTGGAACTGGAAGTAGATTTAGGTGCCGGGACCACAATTTCAATTTATTTAAATGACAGTAATTGCAACATTGCCAGGTATTTGCTTGCTTGTTGTTTATTTTGGCTTTTTCTTTCTACAGACAGTTGATGTGGAAAAATGGGTACGTGTTTCCATGGATTTGCAAAGGAATTGTGATCTAAACACATGCACGTTTGCTCTTGCCTCTAATATTTTTTGTGTGGCTTCCTGGTGTGGCTTGTACTATTAGTTTTCACAATAACTGCTGTGTTGTATTGAACAAATATGAACAGGTCTCTAGTTAGAACCTTGTGTATGGTTTGGTTCAACTGAACTGGGGGATATGAAAATGTTCTCCTGCCCCCCTTCCCTCCCACACCAGAGCTATATAGTTTCTCTGTAATTGGCTTTCTAATGCAATGCACTTTGGTCAACAGGTGGGCTTTTAAAGTACATCACATCACAAATCTTAACCTTAAAGTCCTACTGCATAGCTCTTATGGTTTCCCACATACAATAGAGACCGGTGGTTACACATATGTGTACAACCTTGAAAGGTGAAGGTGATGGTCAGTGACATGAGGAAAGGACTCATTTGCAGGATTTTGGACGCTGAGTTTGGGACAGCGGTGTGATGTGGCCAAGTTCCATTATTACTATGGTACTATGGTCTGTTTCCTCCTCTATTAAGAGCCAGAGACAGGGAAGAGGGAAGAAACAGGTAGAATTTGTTACCTGTTTCTATCCTCGAGTGTCACAGAGAACAACTTACCTCCTGCTCTGTGTGTGTGTGTGTGTGTGTGTGTGTGTGACAATAGAACACACTCCCACCAACTGAGCCACGCAGACAGTGCTTCATGGGATATTTTTACCATAAGACAAATATTTGAGGCTCTCTACAAATGTATATCCAGATACCCTGTTGGATAGTATATATTGACATATGCTTACAACTTGAAATTGTCAATAGTAAATGCCTTTTGTTTTCTGAAATTCGTTAGGAGCACCAGTAATCATCATTAATCTCAAACAGCCACCAAACCCAAGTCTTTGTGGTGAAATACCTTTTTTTTGTCAACATGATGAGGTTGAACAGATTATCCTCCCTCGTAAGGACAGGTTACCAGACAATGACCTCCTGACATCATTTACCATTGATATCAGTTATAGATTCATAACTAAACAGCCTCTATTTTCTAATCTTAAAATGAAACGATCCTTTACAATTTTTTTCTTAAATTTTAATATTAAAAATGGAATCCTGGCTGGTGTGGCTCAGTGTTGAGTGTCAACCTATGAACATACCCGTGTTGGAGGCTCCATCCCCAATGTGCGATCATGCAGGAGGCAGCCATTCAGTGATTCTCTCTCATCATTGATGTTTCTATCTCTCTCTCTTTATCCCTTCCTCTCTGAAGTCAATAAAAAAATATATTAAAAATGAAAAAATCAGTCACAATAGAATGCCACTAATGTACATATCACTGTGTTTTTACGTTTCAGGGAACTAACTGTGGTATCTATAAGTATGTCGGTTGAAAAATTGCTATTTTCTATAAAACTAATGTGAATACGTGTATCTTTTCTCTGTAGGACTTGGGTACTTATGACAACTAAATGTAGTCCTAAGTTTGGAAAAGTAATGCCATTTTCCTTCCTAGTTCTTTTTAATCTGTGTACGTCTCCTAGGAATAGGTCAAGTAAACTCGATGGGCCTAAAAGAGAATGAGGGAATATATGCACGTATTATGTTTTGTAGAAGAAAAAGGAGCTATTATAAGGCACGAGACGACTGTGTCATTTTAAGAACAAAGCTTCTGTGATATTTTCTTTGCGTTTGGGAAGGGTTCATGGTTACTATCACCTCGGCACTTTAGTGATGAACACCCTTACCTGCTTCCAGTCCACTGTTTTTACTAAAATCAGTTGCGTTGCTGTTTATATCACTGCATTTTTCTGCAAAAGATGAAGTGAAATGGTTTTAAAAGCATTTTCAGAGTATAATTTTAAGATCATACCTTTGGGCTTTTTTGGTGCTTAGGTATGTTGTAAACTGAAACAGGCATCACAGTAGAGAAGCATGTTTTCACAGGAAAAGGAAGAACTAATGTTAAGAACACTTGGAAAAGGAGTTCTGCTTGCTCCAGCTCTTATCTGGCATGCAGTTGATACTGTTTTGTTGTGACAACACAGTGAATGTGTTTTTGTATGTTGATTGTTCACATAACTCCATTGAGAAATCTTTATAAGTAAGAGATCTTTTAAAATGTCTTTGAAATAATATATTTACTACTTTTTCTCTTTTCTTCTGCCCCCACAGAAATTCATGATGAAGGTAAGACACTGGATCATCTACTACACGTTTTGCTTTGTACATTTCATATTTGGTTTAAATTTTGAACTCATGGCACTTTTCTTCACATCTGAAAGTTTTAGAAATTAAATCAAACTTCAAAACTTTTAAATTTAAATGAATCAGTCACATATTTAGATTTGTCAACTTCATAAACAGCATTTGGCACGTTGTGTCACATGCATATTAGTTTAATTTAGCCAACGTTAAGAATTCTCCTATTGAAACAAACATTTTTGCTGTTCTCCAATTAGCATTTTCACTGCAGGCATCCTACTGGCTGTTCTTGGTGTGATGCTCTTGCATGAATCCAGTAGGAAATTCACACTCTGGGAAATGAGAAGCAGCACCAAAAAGTTGCGAGAGCATTTCTTCCTCCAGGAGTCAGGAAAATAAATCAACCTCTTTTCATTTTCCAACCCATTGGAAACATAGAAAGGTTTGAAAAGGAGGCAGAGCACGTGGTCCTGGCACTGAAGGAAACGTAGAGGAGGGGGCACAGAATGTCAGTATTTGGGACAAAAAGTAGAAGGCTCTGGTTTCAGTTTTAAGTACCTACTACTTTTCTCATATAACAATCACAAAACTTTGATTTTAAGTCAAGAAACAATGTATAGAGAAACTTACTGTATTTAGTTAATAAAGGCTTAATATAGTTCAAAATTTCAAAAGAATATAATTTCAAAAGATACCAATTCTGAAAAATGTTAATTCAAAATTCTGGTGTAAATGTGAGAGGCTGCGTACTCTCAGACAGCAGACACCCATAAATATATATGTATATATTTTAATTCTCACGTGAGGATATGTTTTTATTGTTTTTAGAGAGAGAGAGAAATGAGAGAGGGAGAGAGAGAAACATCAATGTCAGAAACATCCATTGATTGCCTCCCATAGGCACGCAGACTGGGATTGAACCGTAACTTGGGTTTGTGTCCTGACCAGGAATCGAACCCACTACCTTTCCAACCAGCTGAGCCATACCGGCCAGAGCTGCCCGTAAATGGTTTTTGAATGAGTAGGAAAGAGAGTTATGTATAGTATTTATGGAGAATTACAGGCCTAAAGTATGGATGGCATTAATGTGAACTTAAGGCTTATTTATATTATGTAAAATACAATTTCCTAATTCTCCTTTTAATTGGTGCAATTGACTGCTTTGCTCATATTTTAGATTCCAAAGAACAGTTAACCTCTTAACTTCCAGAATCACCAAGATTTTTTTTCAAGTGAATCTTGAAGGCAGGCCAGCCTCGAGCTTGCTTCTCCATTAGCTTGATTGACTCTTATTTAGTTGGTCCTGGCTGGCTTCCCGGAGGTCAGTGTGGTCAGAGATTCGTGTTTGGGGGCTAGAGGGAAAGGGGCTAGCTCCAGAGGACTGAGTTACTGCTGCTTGGATGCAGCTGTTGCCCAGTGGTGATGGTCATCTCCTCACTGAGACTGCAGGGGGCGTCCGCACCCACCGGAAACAGGGCTGCACAGTCTTGAAGGAGTAACCCCAGAAGTGGTGACCATCTCCCTACAGTACCAAAGTTCAGAGGAAGTCCATGCACTCCGGTGGGCAAAAGTAGGTGTAGGGTTGTTCTGATGGGAAACAATACAATAATTAATAAATAACAATGCAAGAATAAACTGTTTTGTGTTCTCACAGCTGTAAACCTACCTTGCCCACCCTGTGTTTAATCACTTAAAGAAGGACCGGCCACATTTAACAAGAAAATTGACATGACGCACCAAATTAAAAAACACAGGAAAGAATAAATCATCCCTTAGGATTCATCCCCACACGCAATTCTTTTGATAAACGTTTGTTGAATGAATTGAGTTACCCAGTCGGCCCAAGAGTTGAAATTACATATTTTTAAATTTTTTCAGAAACGGAGTCAATTAGATTAATGTCATATAAAATGACAAGTTAGAAGAAAAGTACTGTAGCACATGTGACAGAAATTGCATCCCTTTGTGGTAACTAAGTTAATTAGTAACAATTAATTTAGTGGGGATTATGTGCATACTTGTATGAGTTCTATTAGAACTAAATCTGGCATAATTGGCATTTAAGTGGTGAGGAAGTCTCTAGTTAAAATCTATAATTGTCTAATTGTGTAGAATGTATAGTTGGAAGACAATTTAGACACTAAAATGTCTCCTCTTAGCTTAACCAATTTGAACATTTATACATTCATACATATAAACATATGAAATGCGTGGGCAGAACTTTACAGTAAAAGGAGCACTCCTTCATTTCTGGTTAAATCTTCGTTTTAAATTTTTTGTTGTGATGGATGTGACTGTCAGGAAAGTTCAGCTGGATTTCATACCTTTGGAGCTTGTGTCTCCCGTGAAAGTCAGCTCCTGCCACTGCAACCAGATCAGTCCAGGTCGGTGAATTGCCCTTGGCCACAGTCACGTGTAGCACAGAACATGCAAGTGCTTCCTATAGAGGGCCTCGTTCTGGGGAGGAATATCATTTTACAAAGTAGATTCCCCCCTTTCTTCCCTCAGTATGTGGAAAAGAGATTTCCTTTTGTTTTAAAAGCAGTTTTAAAAATAATTTTAATAAATTTTAATATTGATTTTAAGGATGGTTCTGAGGCCTTTCACGCATATAATATGTGAAGTTATTTTAAGAAATTATTTGGAACAATATGAAGGGATATATTTATAGTAAGAAAGGTATAATAGTATTGATATTAAAGTACTCCACACTTCTTAAGGTATACATATGTGTGTGTGACACACACACACACACACACACACACACACATATACACACACATATATATCAATATCACCAATCTCACCCTTAAAATCCTTAAAGACAGCCCTCTCCTTCAAAAAATTGTGCACACTCCTGGGCTTAACTGTATGGCTCCTGTTCCGTTTCTGCCACCCCCATCTCCAATCTGTGGTCCCCTCTCTTTTAACACCTGGACTGTAAACCATGACACCTGACTCCCACCCCCACCCAGGTGGATGGGCGCCCACGTCATTTCTCATTCCTCTCATGTTTATCGAGTGCTTCGTGCTGAGAGCTCACATCCCTGTCGTGAAGTTCACGTCTGACCCAGAAGAGAATGGTGCTCACTTTGTGGAGTGGTTAGACCAGGTGCCAGGTGTACCTGGGGCTGCAGGAGGCTCAGGGAGCAGCCAACTGAGAAAACCAGAGGAGGCTTCCTGGAGGAGGTGGCCTGGAACTGAGTTTGAAAGTGCAGTTTATAAGGTAGAAAAGACCAACTTCTCTGTTCACCCAGACCTGCTGAGTCAGTCACCGGGATGGCCCAGGAGTCTGTGCTTCCGCCGCCTCTTGGGGACTCATGTGCCCACTCACATTGGAGAAGCATTTTTCTAGTTCTTGGAAGGGAATTTGGACTCTTTCCTAGAAACCTTTGGGAGGTAGGAAAGGTTCTAAGCCTGGGGATGATTTGATCAGTTTCGCCTTTTTGGAAGGCTCATTCACCGAACAAATGCTTAGTCCTTACGTGTGCCATCACCTGGGTACAGTAGTGACCAAAGAGCCGAAGGTCCCTCCTGATGCAGCCCACATGCCGTGAGAAATAAGGACAGTAAATATCTGTGCTCAGTATCACACGTCATGCAGAGTGTTTGCTCCCAGAGCCAGGGCACCTGCGCACCCACGGCGCAGGCTGCATGGAACCCGTTAGTCCATGAGAGCATCTTCCCACCGCACGTGGTTGTCTGCAGTAGCTCTTACCTTTTCCTGGAGAACACGGGGACTTTTTATTGACGTCGCTAAGTTTTGTTTTTTCTTCTCTTGTCAACCTCGTCTTGTTCCTCGCAGACTGCTCAAGGGGGTGGTCACCGGACACTCCTCTACGGACACGCCATCCTGCTGCGCCACTCCAACAGCGGCATGGTGAGCAGCGCCGTGCCATCTGCGGCGGTCGGGAAAGCGAGGGCGCTGTGCCCTTTAAGATCTGTACCCTGCTTAGTCCTCCCACTTATAAGATGCGGAGTAGCGTGGCTGACCTTTAAGGTCCTTCAGTTCTGTCATCGTATGACCCCTGTTTTTGGTATCTCACTTTTGATAGACCAGTTAAGTGTTAAGATTAAAATAAGAACCTTTTCTCATTCCTGGTGTTGTTTTAACAGTTTATTAAAGAATTAAAGTATTTTTACTGAAAGATAATATAAAAATCTGCCTGTGAGCTGCACTGTCACTTTTCACTGGCCTCCCTCCTTCCTGACTAGACGTCTCTCTCTTTCTCCACATCAGCTCCTCTTGCACCCAGTCATCCACGTGACCCCTCGACCCCCTCTCAGGCTGTGTCCCCTGGTTCACTACATACATGCGTTATACGTGCTTATGTCACATTTCACTGCTCCTGGGAGGCCCTGCATGTGCTGTCCCCCTCACTGGGAAAACTGGGCCTTCACCTAGAAGCACCCAGATTTCACTCTGATACCAGCGCGAGTCAGAATTGCACTGGGTGGGACTATAACCGCGTAGTGACAGCTGCTGCTTCTGTGTCCTTTAGTACCTGTGCTGCCTGTCCACCTCCCGGTCTTCAACTGACAAGCTGGCCTTTGATGTTGGCTTGCAAGAGGACACAACAGGTGAGCCCTCTGGCTTTGATCATACGTATTAATGTGCACCGCGTGGCTTATGAAGTATTACTGCATGTCTTTATCATCTTCCATCTTAAAAATAATTTTAAGTCTAAAAATGTAATATAATCAGTGTCCTCATCCAAGCAAAAAGGTAGAAAATGAGTCTTCTTCATGTCTCTGTCACAGGCATTGACCCACATATTTTTCCAAACAGATGTATGTTTACGTATTTTTGAAACAAAAATGTATATATTGACACATTTATTCTTTTGGAGAATCAAGATGAGAGAAGATAAGCTTTATTTGTGTTTTTGTTCTCAATGCTCTGACTCTACACTTTATATACAATTTGACTATTTTATCTTTTACAATAAGCATACATGACTTTGGGAATTAAAAAATAAATAAAAAACCTAGAAGAGAAGAGAATGGAAGGAAATAGACCAACTCTTATCAAGTTGTTCCTTTCATGGGTGGGATCAAGCGGTCTTTCACACACTGTTTTCTTTTTAAAATACTTTCCTATAGTCTAAATTTTTCAGACTACAAGTGGATAAAAATAAAGCTATATTTACCAACTTAAGTTTTTAATAGACCAACATATTGCCTTCTTCATGAAATTCCAAGAATCCCAGGCACCAAAAAGATAAATGTATTATTATTTCTATTTCATTTTATTTGGGCTCAGCCATTTCTCTGTATTCTTGCTAGTTTTTTTAAGTTTTATCATTATAGTTCCTTTACTTCAGCACACAATTACATGAAACATCCAGTTCTCTCTTCCAAAAAAAGTGCAAGGAACACACAGTGTGTAAGTTGTTTCATACATTGAGACGACTACAAAACATCAGACAACAGGCAGCCCCTCTCCTGCCCCAGGTGCCTTATGCCCCTGTTCCCCGGAGCTCACTGCTGCTTCTTAGTTACTTATATTTACCGTTAGTCCGGTGTGGCCTTTATCAAAACTAAACTCACAGGCAGATGATATGTCTTCCTCGTTTATTTTTTATTTTTATTTTTTTAAATATATTTTATTGATTTTTTACAGAGAGGAAGGGAGATACTTTGAAACATCAATGAGAGAGAAACATTGATCAGCTGCCTCCTGCACACTCCCTACTGGAGATGTGCCCGCAACCAATGTACATGCCCTTGACCGGAATTGAACCTGGGACCTGTCAGTCCGAAGGCCAACGCTCTATCCACTGAGCCAAACCGGTTAGGGCTCTTCCTCGTTTATTGATGTATCCCCAGCTGCTAAAGCAGTGATGGAGCAGTAGTGGGTGCTTTATAAATGTTTGAGTGAATGAATGAAAAATTCCTTACAACTCTAAAAATGTGAATTGAGTGAGTGAAGACCAGGAATTCTGCAAGGTGACACTCAAGTAGGACTGTGGTTTGTGTGAGAAAAGCTGCTCAGAGCACAGATTACCTATTAACTGTAAGCACGCTTAAGAAATTCCCTGGCCTGTGTGGCCCAGTGCTTGAGCACCAACCTGTGAAACAAGTCATCATGGTTGGATTCCGTCAGGGCACATGCCTGGGTTGCAGGCTTGATCCCCAGTGTAGAACGTGCAGAGGGCAGCCGATCAGGGAGTCTCTCTCATCGCTGATGTTTATCTTTCTTTCCCTTCCTCTCTGAAATCAATAAAAATATATTAAGAAAAGAAATAGCATTTGCTGATTCATTTACTCAGTTATGCAAAATGAATTTTTATTGAGTGCCAGAGCATTAAAAACAAAAATGCTAGCATCCGGGGAAACCCCGGTGAGCCAAACATGGAAGGCCCTGCTGTGATGGGACCTACATTCTGGCATTGGGGAATTAGCAAGAAGAAAAGTGTTATGGAAAATGAGAAAGCTGAGCAAAGGGAGAGAGTGCAAACTATTAGATAACAAGTCACTAAAAATATTCTCATTTTTGGATGAGAATAGTAGAATGTTTTGGATAGAATTTGCATTTATTTTTAAAAGGAAGTATGACCAGACTGAGGAATTGTGTGCTAGTTTGTGTCTTAGGTAACAGCAGTCAAGAATGAAGAATGGGCGGTGGGCATGTAGCTCCTGAGGCTTAAGCATGGCTCATTCCAGGAGGAATTATTTGATTACACCCAGCTATTTTTATAATGCGCCCGTCAATAATGGGGTTCTCTTTTATGTTACACTTAGGTTAATAGAAAACATATTTTTTAAATCACAAAATATATTAAGGCACAGGATAGTAAAATTTAGATAACAGTTGTGCCCATTTTAAATCAGCATCCCCCAGAAAGTAAATTGTTATAATGTCACATCATAAAACTCCAAGTCCTTCTGAAAACCAACTGGCGAAAACTAGATGTCATCAGAGTAACATGAACAGTGTACTATACACCGTATGCTTTTGTAAAGAATGAAGTCAGGTCGGCACGACCGGTGAATTTCGCCTTATGTAGCATAAATATCATTTTTAACCAATTCTTAATAGGGGGAAAGACACCAAACTTCCAAACTGTCACAACCAGTTCTATGACAAGCTGTATGTTTCCATGTGTCTTATCCTAAGCTAATTGGCTTACTTCTTTTTATTTTCACGGACTAAGAGATTACGTTGCATTATAATTCAAATTCCTGAAGGAGTGAACAGAACAAATTTCTGTTAAGGAGACTGACTGTGAAGACTTCTTTTACTTCCCTCTTTAATGTGGAGTCAGTGGCAAAGCACGTGGATTTTGCACTAAGAGGCTGCTCTGTGTTGCTCGCCCCTCCTGCAGGCGAGGCTTGCTGGTGGACCATACACCCCGCCTCCAAGCAGCGGTCCGAGGGAGAGAAGGTGCGAGTTGGCGATGACCTCATCTTAGTGAGTGTGTCCTCCGAAAGGTACCTGGTAAGTGTGGAGAGTAGGGCACGGACTTGCTGAGATGATGCATGAAGGTCAATAAAACAGCCTCTTTAACGTGTAGATTGCAAATTATCCAGGAGACTTGCTTAGAAACAAGCCTGTACCTCTATTTGATGAGAGAGCAGTAACTCCCCAGGTAGGGGAAGGGGGTGACACGCAGTCGTGTGGCTCACCGGGTGCGTTTGGACAGGCTCCTGGTGTGCCCTGCCCTGGGTGCCCGCCTCCGTGTGCCCCATCCTGCCCCCGTCCTGCCCCGTTCTGACCCTGGTGCCTCTTCCTGGACTCTGTCATTGACGCACTACACACAGTCCGATCGGGAATTCAGAACTGGGACTCTTCTGCACCCGGCGAGAGGGCTGCATTAATGAGGTTGTGACCACTGATTTGGATATTTATGAAAGAAAATTCTTATGTGAGAAATACTTGCCACGTTAAGAGAAACAAGCAAAATAAAAGCAAGTTGAGGTCTCCTTGACATTGTTTCAAAGAGTAGAGGGTGACAGTGGGAAAATGAAAAAATGTTTATGTTTAATCATTGAAGGCATTTTTTATTTTGTGGTAAGGCCAATATATATTTAATTGAACTTCTTAGTATTTAGCGAATTGTATTTTTGCTAAAGAATAATCATTTGCAGAATTTTGCAGATTGAAATCAATGGAAGTGTGAGAGATTCCAGTGCAAAATATTATTATGATATTTAGAAAGGTTATTTTCCATCAGCCTGGTTTCCATTTTGTTTAAGAGTGACATGCCTATTTTTGCTGGTGCCTCGAGAATAGCATATTCAGGTGAGAGAACCCGTGGGTGTGAAGACCCATGGGGCTCCCCAGCATGACGGTCCTGCTGCAACTTCATGCCCCTCATCCAGCTGGGAGGGTTGGTTTCCGGGCAAGTTCAGGTACAATGGGATCTTTGAAAGCTGAGGCTGTCATCTGCCACCAGCGTCGGAGAAGTGATGTTTGCTGAGATGGCCCCAAGAACACAGTGTCTGTCTGCAATTCTAGCGGAGCCAGGTGGTAAAATAACCGAGGCCATCTGCTGTAAAATGCTAGAGTGGTTTCATAATTTTTCTTTTCTTTTAGTTTCAGATCTCATATATTATGGCTCTTAAAATATTAAATACGATATTTTACACATTTTAATTTTTAAGAAGGAAATCTGAAATTTGTACTATCTGAATTTTGGAGAAAATGTGTTTGTCTTGGTTTTAGATACCTATTAGAAAACATTGCCATCGAATGGCTATTGTGTCAAGTTGCAGATAAAAGTTGATAACCTCATAAAACTAAGATTGGTTCTATAGATTCCACCTGCATTGTTGTAAAAAGACACCACAGTGTGATAGGTAGACAACTTATAATTCTAATGATAAGTACCCACTATCTGTATAACTTTGTTCATCAGTAGGCCTTAAAACAAAATAGTCTACTTTTATGAATCAATTTATTTTAGTGTATTCATTTGTTTTCTGATTAGTGGCTTACGTTAGTAACTCTTAGGATGAAGATGGGAAATACCTAAAGACAAATAGAAACTAATCTTTTTCTACCGGCCTCTTCGTTTGGAGTGACAGGGCTGATATAGACGCTCCGCGTGCGCAGTTCCATTCTGTGTTGGGTGTGAGTGGGCAGAAGCACGTGGTGCTGAGCCCGCCCGCAGCCAGGCGAAGCCTCTTTGTGTCCCTCTCCGCAGCACCTGTCCTATGGCAGCGGCAGCGGCAGCCTGCACGTGGACGCCGCTTTCCAGCTGACGCTCTGGAGCGTGGCCCCCATCAGCTCAGGAAGTGAAGCGGCCCAAGGTACACCCCTCTTCAGGGAGGGCTCGTCCGTGACGCGGGGTGGCTGTGACCCTGAGCTGGCTCTTAGCCAGAGCTTGTGTCAGACTATTCTGTAAATTAGGTGATGACACCCAAGATTCTCGTTTATATTGCTACTTGTACGCTGTGGTCAGCTTCAGTGTATCTTGTGGCTTCTGTGCTGGCTTCCTGGGGGCTGCTGCCCCGGGGTATTGCTCAGTTAGGCGGATGTCCAGCTTTCCCATCTTCTGGGGCGGGTGGTTTGGAGGGGGGTCCCAACAATGCCCATGCGTCAGGGTTTCCGGGACTTCTGTGTTTGTTCTGATTACTGTCACCTGCACAGGTTCAAGTCTGACCCTGTCCCTGCATGTATGTTTAAGGGAGGGTTTTACGGGGTTGAGGTGGTATTTCCAGTGGGAATGTCACTCACTCTGGGGCTCTGAGGCTCAGCCCCAACAGCAGCAGGCAGGTGGAACCATCCTTCTCTGAGGTGTGGCCAGGAGCACAAGCCTTGCTAGGCTCCTGGTTCTCTAAGAACATAGAAGATTGGACCAGGTGAACTGTCCAGCCACCACTTAGCATGACAGCTGCGCTAGACCGAGTTTCCTCCTCACAGGGTACCTGATTGGCGGCGACGTCCTGAGGTTGCTGCACGGACACATGGACGAGTGCCTCACCGTCCCCTCTGGGGAGCATGGGGAGGAGCAGCGGAGGTGGGTGAGCCTGGCGCCCCAAGCCTTGATTTTCTTGCCTTGACATAATTTTTTAAATTAAGGAAATGCCTGTTCAGGCCGTTAGCGTAAGAGAAAGTGGGCCTCTAACGTTCATCTGTCCCCTGAATGACCCATTTGTTGGCCTCCTTTGCAGTTTTTCCTCGTGTTACGTTTTTATTACCTATCAGCGGAATCGCTGAAAAAATTAAAACATGGAAGAAGCATCGCATTAAACTGAGTGGGAGAGTGAACACATGAAACAATCTACTTAAAACTTCATTAAATGTTCATTGGTTCTGATTAATTCTTTTTCTGGAACATTTAGTCTTGAATTCAGTTTCAAAATCAGATTTCTCAAATTGTACAAAAGTTGACGACCTTTTTTTTATTACCCCCATTTGCTGCCATAGATAATAGAACTGACCACGTTCCTCATATTTTATGTGATTATAATACCTCTCTCATGTTAATATTATTTGGCATTAGACCGAGATTGATGTAGTCCAGATCTTTGGGGAAAGTGCACAAATAATACAAAACAAAAATATTTAAGATGATTTGAATGCCCTGCTTTGCCTCATGAATTCTCAGATGAATCTGATAAGGTTAATACATAAACAAGGGATCACTGTGAGAGCAGGTGTCATCTGGATGATTTATTACATGTTTTAGTTTTGAAAGGACATTTCTCATAATGTTAACATACATATTTTGGTAACTTATTTAATAGATACTTCTTTCTGTAATTTACAGAAAGATACAGGGAACATTTAGGAAGTGAATAATCATCAACTGGCTCTTGGGAGCAGAGGGCTGTGTGGAGAGAGAAGGCCCGGGGGGCAGGAGGTGGTGAGGACTCCGAGGTGCTGCATGGGCTCTGGCTTCCGTGAAAGGTGGCATGCGTTGGCCCGGAGATCAGGTTGGGTGTTGTGGGTGATGACTTAGCGCCACTGACAAACAGTTATCACGAGGCTTTGGCGTTTGGGTACGTGTGAAGTACCCTCAAATCAATGTTTCTGCTTTGGGTGTGTGTGCAACTTCTTGCTTATATTTATATTTTTGGTGATATTTATACTTTTCTATTATCATCTTTTCAAATTGTTATACTAAAATATTAGAATGTGTTATACTAAAAGCAAGTTGTAATGACAAAATCTAGAACAAACTTGAAAACTCTAAATATGAATGTGTGTGAATAATAATATATTAAACTACACCTAAAGTTATAGCTGAGTACTTTTAAGGACCTGAATTAAGTGAATCAGGTGAGTATATTCACGGGGGGAAATGGGGGAGGGAGAGTTGGCGAGGGAATGAATGGGATTAGAGGAGAAAATGATGAGGCACGTGTTTACATCGAATGTTTATTTAGGGCAGACTTATGTGGGTCACTGTTAGTATTTCTGGTTATTTTTATTTCCGGCTCTATTGTCTTCTCCAAAAAGTATGGCTTTAACTGTTTATGCAAAGGCTTTCCATTTGCTTTTCTCTTTTAATTAGCTTGAAAAACAGAGTCCAGGAATGAAACATGTTAAAATTGGGCTTCTTTTTTTCAAAACAGAACTGTCCATTATGAAGGTGGTGCCGTGTCTGTCCACGCCCGGTCCCTGTGGAGACTGGAGACGCTGAGAGTTGCGTGAGTAGCGCCCCTGAATGCAGCCCACGTGCCACTTTCCCAGTGCGCTCGGCTGGGCACCAGCAAATGCAGCGCTGACAGCGGCAGGCTCTCCTCCCTTTCTCCCTCCTGCCGGTTAGTTATCCTTCATGAGCCCCAGCTCACCGGGTGGTAGGTCAGCCGCTTTTGTCTTCAGCCTCATTGGTTTTTGTAGCATCATCTCATCTGGTCAGTGCATCTCCCGGCACAAAATGCTGCTGGGCGCCCTTGAGGTAGGTTTGGAGACAAGCCTGTCACTCACTTCAGTCTTGGCAAGCTCTGGACTGAACCTTCTGGAAGCACCTGTGAGACGGAGGAGACCTGAACGTGAAACAGGGCACTAGACCATTCCTGGCAGTCTCTGTGTTTACTCACAAATAACAGCCGAGTCAGCAAAGGGGGTGGTAATACGAAGCCACTGTGAATGTATTAGAGAAATTATGCGTGTTTGTATTTTTTTCTAGTGATTTTAAAAAAGCTGTTCAGAGATTGACTTTTCGTTCCTTTAAATAAAATGCAATGTTGATAATAAAAGTATAATTTTGAACTCTTTTTAATAGACTTAAAATAAATTTTTAAAAGGATTATAAGGTTCAGTCCTTTGCCTCAAAAGCAGTAAGTTTTTAAAGTATTTGTTCTCTATTATATTTTAAGGAAATTGTTGCTTTAGGTTTGCAGACTCCATGATGGGTGTAAGGAACAATCTTAGTATAGAATAGCTATCTTTGTAGACGTACTGTTTTGAGGTTGATGCTTACCTAATGATGATTTCAGTAATTTAGTGCTCTTCAGTTGCTTTTGCTTATATATCCCAGACAATAATTTTGAAAATTTTTGTATATCCTTGAACGTGGTAAGGTATGACATAGGACTTTTTATTACTCTAAATATATGCACAGAATATAGCTTACAGTGTATTATAAGTAGTTGTCTCTATAAACAGATTCATGTAAAAATGAACTTATCGTAATATCGTGGTACTGATAATTTTCAATGCTAATATCACAAGTCAAAAAACCAGTTTAGCAAAACAGCATAAATATCACTTACCGTTTACTAAAATGGAAAAATTTTCAAAAAATACTCTTAATTAGTAGACTACAATAGTTTCTAATGACTCTATTTTAAAACAAATTTGTTAATTGATAAAAATCATATTGACAGCCTCCACAACTCTGCTGTCTATATGACTCATAATGTAGTGATGGCTATGTGCATCCTTTTTAGAGTTTATCTCTTATCTTTTTAAAGCACCTGACAGCATTCCCTTCATGCTTTGCCTCCAACTCGCAACTTTGCCATCACTGTTTCCTTGTGATTTTATATGAAAGGGAATTCTTTTCCACTCAGTTATGTTTAGTTTTTAGTTATTTGATTGTCAGCATGCGGGCAGGACTACAATAGTTTTTAATGACTCTATTTTAAAACAAATTTGTTAATTGATAAAAATCATATTGACAGCCTCCACAACTCTGCTGTCTATATGACTCATAATGTAGTGATGGCTATGTGCATCCTTTTTAGAGTTTATCTCTTATCTTTTTAAAGCACCTGACAGCATTCCCTTCATGCTTTGCCTCCAACTCGCAACTTTGCCATCACTGTTTCCTTGTGATTTTATATGCAAGGGAATTCTTTTCCACTCAGTTATGTTTAGTTTTTAGTTATTTGATTGTCAGCATGTTTCTTTTCCACGATGAGAGGCTGTCCTTGCTTTGCAAAGAGCCACTTGGTGTCATGCATCTGCGAGGCTTGTCCCGCTCTGCTCACAGCAGTCCGAGGTCTGCCTGTGCCGACTCAGCGTGCGCAGTTCTGCGGAAGCGGGAGTGGCACATAACCGGATTTTTCTTTCTACCTTTTCTGAAAGTCATTACTTTTAGCAGATTTTAATGATCATAACTTTGCTTTTTATCTTTTCTATAACCTTAGTTTATATTTTCTGTTTATTATATTTTCTTTTTTATCCTTTAGACCTTTTATAGTTCTCATAATTTTTTTATTCATTGGTTTTTAATGAGATAATTGTCCTTCATTATTAAATTTAAACCATCGGGATATATTTCTTTTTTAGGTAAATATATACTTTAATTTATGTATATAAATTACAATTCATCATAATTAAGCATTGACTGTACCACTATTTTGCAAGTCTGTGCAAATCCAACAAAAGTTTTTAACTAGTAAACTAACTAGTAAATTAACTAGTAAACTCTAAAGTATCATTTAAATTTATCATTTCTGTATCTGTGACTAGTGAGTAGAGGTGAACTTGGAGCACAAGGAGTAGGGTCAGTGTGGATAGTGTCACATTGAGAGTCAGAAGACCTAGAGTGAAATTTCACTTCTGCTTGCTAGTGCCTGTGTAACGTTGAATGTTGCGTGATCATCTGAATTACTATTTTGTTATGTGTGAACTGACATTAATACCACCAGCCTCACGGGTTCCGAGACCATTCAATAAGACGGTACATGCAGAGCACCTTCCATCATTGCTGAGACATACAAGTGACTTGCTGTTTCCCTGTGGTTGTGGCTGCTGTTGGATCGAGTCTGACCTGTCTCTGCAGGTGGAGTGGGAGCCACATACGGTGGGGCCAGCCTTTCCGACTGCGGCACGTCACCACGGGAAAGTACCTGAGTCTCATGGAAGACAAGAACCTTCTCCTTATGGACAAAGAGAAAGCCGACGTGAAGTCTACGGCCTTCACCTTCCGCTCCTCCAAGGTGAGCGGGACAGTAGTGCTGGGTCTCCTGTAAGTAGACCCACCACGTGTCCTTCGGATACTGGTGAGTGAAAAAAAGCAAGTTGTAATGACAAAATTTTATTGTTTCGATTTAAATAAATCTATGTTTTTACATTTTCATATGCTTGATAGGGAAGGACTGCTCTAAGATTTTAACTTGGAATATTTCAGAAAGATCAAAATAGAAGGTGTGTGGGAACACGAGTGCAGGAAAATTTTTGTTTAACTTCAAAAAAGTCCATCTCCGGATCATTTTGCCTGTTACAATAGCCATATTTCTTTGTAACAAAAAATCAATTAAGGAAAAGCCACCACTGCACTGACGTTCTGGGACATGTTTTGTGCACATTTTTTACTTGTTTCTTTGATGGATCCTACAACTGGACATACTGGCTCAAAAGCTGTGAATATTTTCAAACACTCTGAATAAAAGTTCTTGCCCAAAGCAGTAGCCTTTGAAACATTTTTTTCTCCAAATATCTCTCCTAATATGCACTTGGAGAATGGGGGCTGTTTCTGGATTTGGGCCATTTTGTAATGTCGTAGCTTACACAGGAAGTACAGAGGCCAGGGATCCCAGCACCACTTTTTTCTTTTAAATGCTCACCAGAGGAATGAAGGTATTTTTTCCACTTATTTTTTTTAGAGAGAGTGGAAAGGAGGGAGGGAGGGGCAGAGGGAGAGAGAGAAACATTGATGTGACAGAGATACATCAACAGGTTGCCTCCCACATGCACCCTGGGGCGGGGCTTGGACCTGTAATCCAAGGATGTGCCCGTGGCTGGGAATTGAACCAGTGACTCTCCGGTGCACAGGCCAACACTCTAGCCACTGAGAAACCGTGGCCAGGGGCCAGCATCACTTTTTAATGAAGTCTTCAGTTTCTCTGAGTCTGGTCTCCTGCCTGGCACTCATATTTGGGGAACTGCTGTCTTAAGCAGGTTGTTACTGACTTGCTGCCAAACACACTCCACTCGTTTAACTCACAGTGAGAACTGCACGTGGTAACGTGGTTGAGAAAAGAGAAGGTGAAACTGAAGGCCAAGAAAACATTTTAATTTTAAAATCACAGTAGAATTCTGATTTTAAAATAATGGCCAATTAGGTAATTATAATTTTTTTCCAGGAGATAGAGTAAGTCTTTGTATTGCTTTCTATTATTTGTTTATTATAAGGGTAGATCTTGCCAATCACATATGTATTATATTTCCCCAAGATGGAATTTTTTAGCCTAAAATGCCTCTAAAATATGCTTCTTTCGGGGATTTCCTCCAGTTTTCCTTCTCCCATGCGCCACAAATAGAAACGTGCTGCTATTGAAGTGATGAAATCAGACTCAAATAAGACTGCCAATGAGATCACAAGGATTATGGAACAAATGAAAAAATAGAACAAAATCATTTTTAGGACATAGTTTTTAGTATGCTATTTTTGTTTGGGATTTTTATTCTTGGTTGAAAAATATTTTAAATGCTTTAAAACACACACATGAAAATAAGAGTAACGGTTAATTTATGGGCCAGATAATGTGCGAAGTATCTTATATGTATTATCTCATTTAGTTCTAGTTCAATCTTAATGAAGCTTAGATACTATTTTTTAAAATTTATTTTTTAATCCTCACCCGAGGATATTTTTCCATTGATTTTTAGAGCAAGTGAAGAGAGAGTGAGAGACAGAGAGAAACACATCGATTGGTTGCCTTCTGCATGTATCCCGACCAGGGCCCGGGCTGGGAGGAGCCCGCAACAGAGGTACATGCCCTTGACTGGAATCGAACTTGAGACCCTTCGGTCTGCAGGCTGACGCTCTACCCACTGAGCAAAACTGACTAGGACTTAGATACTATTTTTAATCTTAATTATACAGATGAGGAAACTGAAGCAGGTTAGGTGGCATATCCAAACTTTGAGCCTAAGTAGTAAATCTAAAGCCTTCTTTAATAACAGAATTAAAGATTTAAAATAATAATAGCAGACAGGGAAGATATGTTGTTTACCTGTGATCAGAAGAGCACCTATTGTAGTTGTTTAGTGATGACTAAATATCTAAAAGATGAAAGTAAAATGAAGAACATGTGTATTCTTTACCAAAATAAGTATACAAAATTATCATTGTAGATACATTTTTATTTAATCAGTATTAAATTCAAATGAGATTTTTGCGGTAACCTTTTATCAAGGGGTGCTGATAGTATAATGGAAAATAAGACCAGCTGTGGTTTTTACAGAAGATATGGAAATTCAATGATAGTTTTTATGCTGATCCTTTTATCAAATAGGTTTTTACTTATTTTTTAGAGAGAGAAGAAGGGAGAGGGATAGAGACATCGATGTGAGAGAAACATCAATTGGCTGCCTTCTGCACGCCCCCTACTGGGGATTGATCAAGCCTGCAACCAGGTGTGGAACCAGTGACCTCTTGTCCTGGTGCATGGGACAAAGCTCAATCGACTGGGCCACACAGGCCAGGCTATGCTGATCCTTCTAACGGCAGCAGACAAGAGAGTGGGCTCATTGAAACCTCCAGTGGTGACGATGAGGTGTATCAGTCAGAGCTAATATGAATTACTAAGTTACTCAGTTTGTTATGCGGATTTGTTTTTTAAGATCACAGGAGCTGATGAAGTTAGCCAATAGTGCAAGTGGTGTGAAAAGGGAGGACATGATGTGTGAGAGAGAGAGATCGATTGGTTGCCTCCCACATGCGCCCTGACCAGGGCTGGGGATCGAGCCTGCAACCCAGGTTACATGCCCTTGACTGGAATCGCACCCAGGACGCTGCAGTCTGCGGGCCGATGCTCTATCCACTGAGCCAAACCAGCTAGCTGTGGGTTTCTGTGTTATAAGATTTGTATATTGCACCGTGTGCACATAGCCAAAATAGACAAATTTAAGTTTATTTTATCCTAGATACTGTGCTGAAATACTTACATGCATTATCTCATGTTTTCTGATATGTTTGTTAGCTTTACATGCATTATCTCATGTTTTCTGGTATGGTTATTAGCTTTATTTTTAGCTGGGAAAACTGAGGCTTAAACAGCTTTGTTTAACTTTTCTAAGATCACAGAGGTAGCAAGTGGCAGAGACTGAACTCAAAACCGGATTTCCTGTCCCACAAACCTATGCTGTTAAGTACAAATAAAGAAAAAAATAATCGGGAAAGAATATGAAGCCTGCTCATTTGAATATGAAAAGAATATGAAAACTGCTCATTTTAAGATATCTCATTTGGAGTTTGTCCTTGGCCAATATAAAGTTTGTCATGGCTAAAATAATTGTCTATCAGTGTGAGTTATCAGCTTTATTTATAGCTGGGAAAACTGAGGCTTAAACAGCTTTAACTTTTCTAAGATCACAGAGGTAGCAAGTGGCAGAGACTGAACTCAAAACCGGATTTCCTGTCCCACAAACCTATGCTGTTAAGTACAAATAAACAAAAAAATAATCGGGAAAGAATATGAAGCCTGCTCATTTGAATATGAAAAGAATATGAAAACTGCTCATTTTAAGATATCCCATTTGGAGTTTGTCATTTGCCAATATACAGTTTTTTTTATGGCTAAAATAATTGTCTATCAGTGTGAGTTATTCAAGAATACGTTATTTATTTTTATAATTTTCTACTCAAATCTTCAGTAGTGGTTGAACTGCTAGAATAAAATATTTGACTGTTATTTCAGGGGACTTCAGAGGGCTGAATTTTTCAAGGAACATATTTACAACAAGGCAAAGTTCTTTCAAGATAAAGTCGTATTTTAAAAACTTGATTATCTCTTTTTCCTCTCTCCTTAGGAAAAATTGGATGCAGGGGTGAGAAAGGAAGTTGATGGCATGGGAACCTCTGAGATCAAGTATGGAGACTCGGTCTGCTACATACAGCATGTGAACACAGGCCTGTGGCTGACTTACCAGGCTGTGGACGTGAAGTCTGTGAGGATGGGAGCCATACAGCGCAAGGTGAGAGGCGAGAGAAACCCCATCTCGCAGTCATCTCTTAGGGCTAAAATACACACACCCAAGGCAAGAAGAGGTAGCTAACACTCTCAGCCACCTGCTGACGTTCATTCTCGACATGCATGTTCCATTTTGCATTGCTTTCTAGAGAGTTTATACTTTTAGTTCTCCTTACTAATCTTAACTCAGTACACCTGTTTAGATGACAACTATCTTCTGGAAGTATTGAATGAAGGAAGCTGGGCTGCCCATTTCCTGGTTCCATTTATATATAGAACCCAAGTGACCTTTGCTGTTAAAAGTGAGAAGGTGGGGACCATTGTGGAGGGCAGGGCAGGAAGGGAGCTCTGGGCGGATGTGGAGGTGCTATGACCTTCTCTTCCTGCTCCGAGTGTTCACAGTGTGCTCACTTTGTGAGAACCATTCAACTGCTTACTTAAGGTTTCTGCACTTGTCCCTTCTCATGTGTACTCTCATAGTAAGCTTAAAAAAAACACCGAACAAGAACTAACAACATAAAAACGCAGTTTTAAAGAACCTAGATGCCTTAGGAGCATTGCTGAGCACTGTTCATGACCTGTCTGCTCAACTCACTGTGCCTGCTGAAGCCGAATGGCTTCCTTTGCTGCTTCCCTCAGAGGGTTAGACTTGGAGCAGTCACTGAACATGATGTGTGAAGATATTCTGGGGTCTCTTTGCTGCTTCCCTCAGAGGGAGCAGCACTGAACATGATGTGTGAAGATATTCTGGGGTCTGTTTTGCTCAACCCAGTACAATAACAGATTAATTCTTTAAAACAGTAACTAAATGCCTAGGTGGTCCAGGGACCTTTGCATATTATTTTACCTCAAACTTTAGGGTAAAGCTTTAAAATCATCAATAGTTTACAGTCCCCTCCACCTGTCTTGGTTCTGCGGACTGCTATGGCCTCTTTGAGTGCGCACCTTCATAGCCCCGTTGGGAAGGGAGGTGTTGGAGTGATGGCGGTCCATGTGCTTCCCGCAGGCCATCATGCATCACGAAGGCCACATGGACGACGGCATAAACTTGTCCAGGTCGCAGCACGAAGAGTCGCGGACAGCGCGGGTCATCCGGAGCACCGTCTTCCTTTTCAACAGGTTTATAAGGTACATTTCCTGTCCTTTGTTGTGGTGGCTATTTGAATTGTACCTCAATTTCCTGATTGAATCTACAAGTAAATAATTCTAAAGTACACTGTGGTGGTCAATCTCAACGTTTTGAGTTTAAAACTCAGAATCTCAGAAAGCTCAACAAATCCACACACTTACATGCCAATAATATGTTTTCCTTCAAAGACTAGGAAACGCAACATGATGCCATTTAATTTTAAATACATTTATTTCAGGTAATAGGAAAGCATTTAACATATTGTTTCTGGTTACTAAGTGAATTTTACGAGTTAACATCATTAGAATATCTTTTTAAACAGAATGGCAGTGAGTATCAGCAGCTAACGGCTCCTTCTCCCCAAACCAAACACAGTGGAATGAGAAAATGTCAAAATTATCAGGTCGGGGCTTTGTATCCTGAAACTCGAGCATCTAGTGGTTTATAATGAAAATCAGTTGGTTTCTAAATATTGGTCCTCTAGGCCCTTCCAGCTTTTCTCTAGATAAATTTCTCTCAGTGCTGGTGTTTTTAATATAACATTATGTATACATGAAGGAATATACAGTTTTTCATTTGAATATATTAATTATTGCTTGAGGAAGTAATTGAATGGTTCTATTTCTAATGGCAGGTAAGTTCCACTTCCTAAGCAGGCATTTACTATTGCTTCTCCTTAGTTTGCAAATGTAGATACTGTATTTGAGTCATTTGTGAGTTTATTTGGTTCAGTATGATAAGAGATGAGTTTGACTATGTTATAAATAAGTATATTTGTGATTCAAAAATTATTTGCTTTTTACAGTGGTATTGGGAGAGAGGGTAATGCTTTATGAACTAAAATCCTACATAAAATTGTGAGTCACTGATGAGAGCAGTGGTGCTCTTCATTTAGGGGCCTGGATGCTCTGGGCAGGAAGGCGAAGGCGCCCCCAGTGGACTTGCCCATCGAGTCGGTCAGCCTGAGCCTGCGGGACCTGATCAGCTACCTGCACCCGCCGGCCGAGCACCTGGAGCACGAGGACAGGCAGAACCGGCTGCGGGCCCTGAAGAACCGGCAGAACCTCTTCCAGGAGGAGGTGAGCTGCTCCCAGCGCAAGTCCTTTCCACTCTCCTCCTGGGAAACCGGTCCCCCGTGGGGACTCTACTTGACATCTTGCACTTAGCGATCAGAGCAGCAGGCGCACGGTACTGGCTGCAGGAACCAGGCCTTGGAGAGCGGCGATGGTTGTCATTTCTGCCAGTGTCTAGGGAACTCCTCTCCTCACGCCCCTGGCAAAGGACCGTGTGTTACTGTCTCCTCAGCCTTCGCTTCACATTGGTCATTCACTGCACTCTTCTTGCTTCGCGTTACTTATGTCAAAACAGGCTCTTCAGGTGTCTAAGTGAATGCAGGTCCTTCCAGCTCCTGGGAGCTTGTGTTGGGACAGAGGCTGCCCAGGAGAGGGTCACTGGGCAAAGTGCCAGGCCCCTGCCTGGACACAGCGACCCCACTGCTTCCTTTTGCTCATATTGAGTTTCCGTGTATGGTTTTATTTCACGAAAGTTCTGCTGCCAAAAGAGCGGAAGTGCCGTAATTTACAGACAGAATAGTAGCAGGACCACATGGGATGGTCCAATTGCCAGGACCGGCTGTCCTAGAGCCCCAGCGAGGGCCCCCAAGCCGAACTATCGATCCGCCACCAGGCCATTGGCCCTCATTCCATTTTGTTTGTCACGCAGGTGTTGCTGCTTGTCCTGCGAATAAGTGACCTCAGTTTTCGTAACGACTGAGAGGCTCACCATCAGCCAGGCTTTCCATTTTTGAAACCACTTTGCATTTCGGGTGTGAGCAGACCCGATGTTTCTGACGGCGGTTTCTCTGCCCTCGCAGGGGATGATCAGCCTCGTGCTCCAGTGCGTGGACCGGCTGCACGTCTACAGCAGCGCCGCCCACTTTGCCGAGGTCGCTGGCAGAGAGGCGGGGGAGTCCTGGAAGTCCATTCTGAATTCCCTGTATGAGTTGCTGGGTAAGAAGGATGGCTGGGTTTTCAAGGCAACTGCTGCGTCTATTGAAAATGATCACAGGGCGCTCACAGCCGTTTTAGTTCTTGCTTTCTATTGAAGCCGTTAGTTTTTACCCGAGCTGCACTGCGGGCAGTGATGCTTGCTGGTGAATCATCTCGGTGAAGCGTGGCCAGAGCTGTGGCTTTGCCTCTGGTAAAGGAGAGTGGCCAGGGTGTGTTTGTGGGTGGGGGCCTCTCAGTGATGAGCCTCAGATATTGGCTTTGGCTTCTGAAGAGAGTCCCACAAAGCCCCTATTACCCACTCTCCCCATCAGGGATCTCCCAGCCCCTTCCTCTTGCCGTTCTGGGACCTGCCTGGGAGGGTCCAGGGACACTTGAGGAACAGGAGGTGACACAGGCCATGGTTTACACTGCATTCCTCGTGGCCCTGTGCAGGCACAGGGCTGCATTGCTTTTGGTCTGGGTGATTACTGAAGCTTCTGCCGTCGCTTGTCAAGGGTCTGAGATTTTGCCCTTCCCAAGGGCGACCATGGGCTTGCAAAACAGGGCATCTGCAGTGGGTGGGAAGCAGTGTCTCTCGCAGCATCCAGAGCAGCTCTGTCTGCCCTGCCCTCCGAGGGATCAGCCGCCTCTAGTGCTGGCTTCCCTGGACGGCCATGGTGGCTGCAGTCAGCGCTCTGCGCCGGAAGTGTCCTCTCAGACATGGAGCAGTGGCGGGGCTGCCCCTGGAAATGCTCTTGAAGAAGAAACCTGCTGTTCCACTCATCAGCCCAGATGGTGTCCGTGCCCTTCCTGCCCTGCTCACTCTGGCAGGAGGCCCGGCTTTGTCTGATCCCGGCTTTGACCCACCTTGGGAACCGGGCCACGCCTTGGCCTGCCTGCCTGCCAAACAGGTGCGATTCCAGAGAAGGCAGGGAGCAAGCTCAGGTGTCCACTTCAAATGTCCATCATGTAATAGACACACACATTGAAGAGATTCCCACCGAGGTGGCCTTTGGTAGCAGAGCAGACATGACCTAGAGCCCTTCCCCTCACAGCCACCGCCTGTGACTCCTTCCCGTTATGTCCTTCCTTGAAAAACAGAAGATCAAGATAGAAACACGAGCTCTTGCTGATCGTGGATCCTGTGGCCCTCGTCCATGTCCAAGTTCATGGACTAAGACGGCTCAAGGCTCCCTGTGTGTCTGTACTTCCTGGGGGTTATCTGGTCACTTTCATGCTCCTTCCTTGTCACCTGTGTTTTTCTAGGTACAGACATCTTGACCACGGACCATCACCTCCTCACAGGTGCACACACACTGCCCTGCCTATGGAGCAGTTGTGATTTTGTAACAGGATTTATGACCCTTTCCCCGCCTAGCTCCGTCCACCTGCCCTCCTGTTTGGAATAAGGAAATGCCCCTTTCCACACACGGAGAGCAGCTCCATGCTCACTGCGTTCCTCAAGGTCTCCTTCCTCTCCCTGGCACGAACAGGATGTATTTCCCTTAAGGGCAGCTTATATTCTCGAGAAATACTCTAAAATACAGTTTCTCCATGCTCTGCGTGTCCTTATTTTGAGCTTATACACTTACATCACCGAACTGGAATCATACTATCAACATCCTTTATGGCCTGTTTTCCTGCTGTCTGACTGTGGGCAGTTTTTTGCGGGAACTGTGAACTTGTGTCAGTTTTGGTGGCTGTAAGTGCCCACTGAGAGATGTGTCGTCATCACAGTCCACCTCAGTCCGTCCCAGTGTTTGGCTGTTATAAACAGTGATGAACTTCCTTGTATTTCTCTGATATTTCCCCATAACTTTAGAAACTCACTTGAGTGACTTCTTAATTAATTTGCTGAGTTATAATAATTCACACAGTCCATTATCTGTGAAACACCCTGTGCACGTGCACATGTACATGCACATGGACACACACTCATAATTTTAGTAGGAACTGTTTCACTGAGTTGAAGTTTTTGGTGGGAATATATACATTTTGGAGTTTATGGAGATATTAACAGATTTCTAACACATTTCTATCTCAGTGGAGGACTAAGCCCAGCTTGACTAATGTTGCTAACGTATTTCTGAATATGATTTGTAAATCCCACTTTTGTAAAAGAGTTTTGGATTTATATCTGAAAGGGTTCCCTCTGGCTTCCTGTTAGCATTGATGCCACTGCTGACAGTAGAGGGCGTCCTTAGTTACCAGATGTATTTTGGAAGAATTGAATGACTGAAACATGGAAAGTTTTCCATTGAGTATACACATTGGGCTGAAAGAGACCTTAAAGGCCACACTGAAGTTTGTTAAAAGACGGGTTCTTTGTCAGAGTACAGAGACCATGAGGTTAAGCAAAGTGAGAAGAGGTGGCTTTACTGCTGGGGTTCTTGGGTCCTTGAAATGCATGTGAGCCTCCAAATAGGAAGAAGAGATACAGGGAACAGGTTGCAGAGTGATTGCCCATTGGCCCCCCGCCCCTCATATCATTTAACTCATCTCTCCGCTGCCTGTTACAGTTACTAGTTGTCTCCCATATTCGGTGCTACATTTATTTTCAGGAAAACTGATGTGCTCTTAACTTCTTCATTATTTGGGTGAGGAAATTGAGCTCTAGAGAAATTCAATAACTTAGTCTCAAGGCTAATTAAAAGCAATGAGTATTCGATCCCAAGTGAGGGAACTCCCAGGACACTGGCTTCTCCATTATCCTTCATTATCAGCTCCCAATGTGAATGTTACCTCCTCAAAGCAATCCCTTCTAGTGAGCGCCTGTGGTCCCTTCCCTGCTACCACCTCTGTGCTTTTTCTAACGTCTCCATTGTGTCTGTGTGTATTCGTGTTGCTTTAGAGATAAAGGAGAGGTATTTTCTTCTTGACCCAACATTTTCAAGCCACTATTACTGGTCGCGTTTGGAACTAGGAAATCACACAAATGAGAAATCTTTCTTTCTTTCTTTTTTTTTTTTTTCAGCGGCTCTAATTAGAGGAAATCGTAAAAACTGTGCCCAGTTTTCTGGCTCCCTCGACTGGCTGGTCAGCCGACTGGAAAGACTGGAAGCTTCTTCTGGTACGTGTCCCGGTACCTCCTCGGATGGGATATAATTCTCCTAGTTTATGTCCTTTAAGACATGAAAACCCACTCAGAGGTCCAGCGCATAGAAATGTTTTCCTTTCGGTAGGGTACCTGTTTACTGACTGCTGCCAGTGTCAGTGTTGTTTTGGTTATTTCTGAAAAGCAGTCTGACCTTATCTGGCTCATTTGCATTTATAAAGAGTGAGCCCTGAAAGCGCTATGGGACCAGATCCCGCCCTTCCCCACTCAAGAACTCACTTATGGACAAGGGGAGACGTTTTCGTTGCGGACAAGTCACTCTTACATTTTCTCGTTCTTTTTTATCTTAGGTATTCTTGAAGTTTTGCACTGTGTGTTAGTAGAAAGTCCAGAAGCTCTAAATATTATCAAAGAAGGGCATATTAAATCCATTATTTCACTTTTAGACAAGCATGGAAGAAATCACAAGGTAAGGGAGCCCTGTAATGGCCATTAATGAATTCTGGAATCATTTTAAATATATTTTTAAAATGAGATAACTCTAAAAAGGGGTGTCAGACGTTGCATTACATAGCCAGGTAATATCGTTCAGTGTTTATTCCCGGCGTCAGTGGGAGAAGAGTGTTCTCAGGTGTGTATGGAGGACGATGGTTAGGTGACTGGCCACAGCGCGGTCCTGTTGACGTGACTGGAGGCAATGTGTTTCCGTCGGTGCCATTGCTGCTGACACTTGGTCTGAAAGGAACTGGAGTCAGCTGACAGCGATTTCTCTGCGCAGGTTCTGGACGTCTTGTGCTCTCTCTGCGTTTGCCACGGGGTGGCAGTCCGTTCCAACCAGCATCTCATCTGTGACAATCTCCTGCCTGGAAGGGACCTGTTACTGCAGACACGCCTGGTGAACCATGTCAGCAGGTCTGTTCAGATAGACAGTATCTCCAGATTGGTGGTCCACCCAAGGAATTCTTGTGCTAGCTCTGTAGCTGAGACCTCTGGTGGTCTCTTCATTTTATTGGGTTTAAAAATCGATTTCCTTAGTTAATAGCAGTATAGGAATGTTTTCTACCAATCAGATGGCATAATAAGAATAGATGATCTGAGCGAAATACGCATTTATCACAGGCCAACGTGTCGCTGGGTTACCACTGACTCTCGGGAGCAGGCTAACAGCCACAAAGGAAATAGCTGGACAGAATCCTACTTTATGTCTTAACATACAACTAAAAGCACTGCCCTTCGATACCAGCTTTGAAGTGTTCACCAAGTATAATAAAAATATTGAATTAGAATGTCCAAAATGTAATAAGTTCCACAAATAACCAATAAAACTACATTTGCAGGTAGATCTACCTTCCAAGGTATCGAGTATTGAGTGCTGGGTGCCAGCTGCTATGTTGGGCGCTTCCCCTGCACTCTGCCCGGTCTGTGTGTGTTCCAGGTGCTGGCATCCACAATTTATAGACGAACGAAAATATGGGAACTGGACAGGAACTCAGGTCTCACTCCAGAGACTGAGCTTGTCCTTATGCAAAATAGTAACAGTGATAATAATAAAAGTACATCTTATAGTTAAGATATTACCTGTGATACAGTCAGAACTGTGGTGCTGTGAATCTAGCCACTCCAGGGAATACGACTTCACTGTTTTAAACAAAAATGTGGGGATTTGGTGTTTGACTTGATACTGTGTTTTTAAAACAGGATTGACTTAAGGCGTCCTTCATGGTTCTCTGTAGAATAGACTTACTGTTAATGAGGGTGCTTCCTGAGACCTACTCTGACCCCTGGTGGTAACATAGGGCACAAGACCCCTCATGCCGGGGCGGGTTGGGGGGCGCGAGGTAGGGGGGGTAAGAGATCAACCAAAGGACTTGTATGCATGCATATAAGCATAACCAATGGACATAAGACACTGGGGGATAGGGGAGGCTAGGGGACTGTCTAGGGCGGGGGTGTGTGTGTGTGGAAATGGAGACATATGTAATACCCTTTGTAATAAAAAATTAAAAAAAAAGACCCCTCATGAAATGCAGTTAAATACAGCTAACTAGCGACTCCTCGGTTCCCAGGGAGGCACAGAGAACAACCAGGCTGGTTGGTCACCTTGTTCCTTCGCGAACAGCGCGGCCTGCCTCCGCCTCATACCGCAGCTAACACAGAGCTTAGGAAGATGTCTCCATGTCCTGGGTTAATACAGCGCAGCTAATTCTAAAGGTCAGCTCCACTGCGCAGCTCATCTTAAACATGGTTAATGAAATAAAACATGCTGATGAGCAGTTGAGACTAATGTTAGCCCCCGAGTGATGTTGCCAGGGAACCTGGAAGCAAGCGCCGTTCCCTGAGCCTTAGCCGGAGGCAGGCATCGCTGTGTGTCTCCGTGACTGTCTTGGTGAGGCTGCAGCAGTTAAGGAAATGTGTGTTTAGCATCTTTGAAGAGCAGGATGAATGTTCGGAATAGTGAGACGTCAATTTAGACAGTGAAAGGTTGGCTCAGATTTTCTTGTGTGTGTTCTCTCTCTTATACAGCATGAGGCCCAACATTTTCCTGGGCGTCAGCGAAGGCTCTGCACAGTATAAGAAGTGGTACTATGAACTGATGGTGGACCACACAGAGCCCTTCGTGACGGCCGAAGCCACCCACCTGCGCGTGGGCTGGGCGTCCACGGAAGGGTACTCTCCCTACCCCGGAGGGGGCGAGGAGTGGGGCGGGAACGGCGTTGGAGACGACCTCTTTTCCTATGGATTTGATGGCCTGCACCTCTGGGCAGGTGAGTGCTGTCCGTTTGCTTTCACAGCGTTTTGGAAGGAAACCTTTGCCCTTGCTGCCCATTTCTGAAAGCAATTGATGCTTCTATTTGATCCATTTATTATTCAGAATTTTAACATTGAAATGATGAATGAGAGTGCTACGTAAAAGCAAAATCACTAGGGGAAAAAGAAAACTTAGCATTATAGTACATTTTCGAAGAACTATATTGCTTACAAAAAATGTACAGTCATCTCCTTATCCACTGGGGATGTGTTCATGACTCCCAGTGGATGCCTGAAACCACGGATGCCTGGACCCCTATATAAACTATAGTTCTCCTATACAAACAACCTTTTCGCTAAAAGGAAGCACAGATCCGAATTGCCAGCCTCCCTACTCTTGCGCTTTAGGGCCCTGATCAAGTCAGTACGGGTGGCGTGGACACAGTGCTGCCAGATCACCACAGTTGTCAGGAGACGGCTGGTGACTCATGGCGGGAGAGCATATAGCAGAGAGACGCTGGACACAGGGATGGTTTTTGTCCTGGTTGGGAAAGAGAGGATGGCTTGGGATTTTATCACGGTGCTCAGAGTAGCACAGCATTTAAAACTTATGATTGTTTATGTCTGGAATTTTCCATTTATTATTTTCAGGCCCTGGTTTACCCTTTTTAACTGAAACTATGGAAAGTGGAACTTAAGACAAAGGGAGATTTCTGTATTTAAAAAGTAGCATTTTGATTCATGAATCAGTTGCAAAAAACTTATTTGTTTCCTGCTTATTTTAATTGGTATGTGGAAGCTTTAGCTTCCCATAGAAAAAGGACCAAACACAATCCCGGGAAAATGGTTGGAAAAAATAAATTAAGGTCACTTCCTGGTAGATAATTCAACCTCAGGGATCTGTGATTTATAACCTGTATTGTGAGGAATTAGTTTATGTCACATGGCACTTTGTTTCAGAAATGTGGGGCTGTTTACAAATAAATATATAGTTCATTTCACCAGCTACCAACTCTCAGCTTTGCTGGTTGAGTATATATTAACAATATTAGTCTGTTCTCTAATTTATGAAAAGGATGTGCTTTGGTTGGCACCATTTAAAAGTTTATCTCTTGATTATGTAGAAGTTCCATTTCATAACATGGTATAGCTTCTGGAAAAAAAAAGCAACACTTTTTTGACAAAGGATTTAAGGTATAATATTATATGTGTCCCAGCTTCTAGTCTGTTCTCGTGCTGTGCACTGATATGTCACTGCCGCTCAGACCTCTGCCTTCAGCCCTGAAGGCGATTCTCTGAGATAAACTCACGTTCCCTTCCTTCATGTCCTCACAGGCTGTATCGCCAGCACCGTGAGCTCGCCAAACCAGCACCTGCTGAGGACGGATGACGTCATCAGCTGCTGTTTAGATCTGAGTGCCCCAAGCATCTCATTCCGAATTAATGGACAGCCTGTTCAGGGGATGTTTGAGAACTTCAACATCGATGGCCTCTTCTTTCCCGTTGTTAGTTTCTCTGCGGGAATCAAGTTAGTATGTCTGTGTTGTGGTCTGTTTCCCTCCTGCTCACACTTCCACAGGACACTGCACTGCCGTCACCTCCTCCCCTAGCGTCTGCCACTCAGGGTCGTCCCTCCCATGGCACCTGTCTGTTCTTACAGGAAGGGGCTTGAGTCACCCCAGAGGGGATCTGGGGAGGCTGGGGCTTTGTCCACATAGTCATGCACTAACTCCTCCAAACCAGTGTCCTGAAATACTTCAAGTCCATTTTTTTTTTATTTCCTAAGGGGAAATGGACAACATTGTGTAAAAAATACCACTTAATTTCTTCTATTTAGTTTCATTAGTTTTCTTTAATAAGTTTTTTGGTTTTGACTAAGGATAAGAAATAAGGTTACATTTTTCTTCAGCAAATGGAAATATCATGTATGTCCTTTTCAGGGTACGCTTTCTGCTTGGGGGGAGACACGGAGAATTTAAATTCCTTCCCCCACCGGGCTATGCTCCTTGTTACGAAGCTGTGCTGCCAAAAGAAAAGCTGAAAGTGGAACACAGCCGCGAGTACAAGCAGGAGAGAACTTACACCCGGGACCTGCTGGGCCCCACAGTTGCCCTGACCCAAGCCGCCTTCACGCCGGTCCCCGTGGACACCAGCCAGGTACCCGCCAGCCTGCTGGCACCGTCCGTGCTGCGGTCATTCTGGTGTGCAGGGCTCTCAGCTCCTGACTGCCACCCACAGGAATGCGCGTTTTCAGTAACATGATTTATATGTGCGATTGAAGCAAGTTTCATAAAATAATGCTGAACTTTACCATGCTGACGGGTCTATTTCCTCTTCGACTCGGTTTTATTTTTATGGGTGGTCCTAAGCCATTCCGTTGCTTTTATAACACAGTGAAGGCCACAGCCTTAGTAGCCCATACTGACTTTAGAGAGCACTTCCTACGTAGGGGAGACGTGGAGTTTTTGCTTCTTCTCCCATCTAGGTACACTTACTATTTTGAAACGATTTAACTGACATTTATCTTGGGTAGAGATTGAAGTCATGGGCTTGACAGTCGAAATTCCTGGGATCCGATGCTACTCTGGGACCTTGAGGACCTGGGTAACCCCCACTGCGCTAGGGAGAGGAGGCGGTGAGAGCTGCTCCCTGCAGACCCTGCCTCAGCTGGGCACGACCAGGTGCTGCTCGGCTTGGTGAAGGACTAGTTGTGGGTGACACAACACCTCACCTTGAAAATCATTTTGTATTTTTTATAGAAAAGTTATTAAACTTAGTCTTTATAAAGATTCTATTTGGAAATCACTGACGATACAGAGGTGAGAGGAAACAGATCACTGCAGTCAGATATTTACTGGCTGAGGCCACGACGGGGTGAGGACTTTGTGTGATTCTCCTAAATAACGCAGGCTCTGCGGGCAGCCCGCGTCCATCCAGCAAGGCGTCTTTCTTTGTGGCAATTGTCCCGACCAAACTCTATCTTCTTTCTTCCTAACTTTGGTTCATAAACTAGAAACCTCAGTTGCCACCCTCCCAAAAAAGATCCCAAAATTTCCCTAAAGAATGTTTAGATAACTAGTTGTTTTTTTACCACTAGGTTATAATAGATGGCTTAGAACCTAGTTATTTTATTTTAATGGTTTATGAGGCAATTCTATTTAGTCCAGTTGCAGGGAGAACAATTAGCGCTGTGTCGTTTGTATTTTTTCTAATGTGTGCTTTCTTTTCTTTTTTCAATTTTAGATCGTGTTGCCCCCCCACCTGGAGAGGATAAGAGAAAAGCTGGCGGAGAACATCCATGAGCTCTGGGTTATGAATAAAATTGAACTTGGCTGGCAGTATGGCCCGGTACGGAGTTTTCCATTTATCTACAGATTCCATTAATGCAAGTTTCCGAATGCAACATTTTCTCGCTCATCTTGCTGTGTGGTGATGTGAATGAATGGACTGATTTTTTTCCTACACCTCAGTCTGGGGAGGGAGCGCCGTGATGGGCGGGCTGACTGATGCATGGCTCAGTTGCCTTGACCGTGGAAAAGTTACCCATCTTTAAGCTGCAGGTTATATTTCCAATCAAGGTTAACACAGGCGGACAGTAGGCGTTGCTTTCAAAGGTTCTGAGAGAGCCCAGTGTGGGTGGAAGTGCTCTCATTTGGCATCTGCAGAGCTTGGATGTTCCCAGGGAGCAGTCTGTTCCCCGACAGCACACGCCTGTCATCGAGGCCCCCACGGGAGCAAAGGCCTGTGTTACGTAGGTCCCAGGAAGATTAATATTTAATTACCAGCGCAGTGATCCAGGCCAGCCTTCCCATTGATCCATCCCTAAAGTCTTTGATTTACTGTAGTCTGATTTCTAGCCTACACTGTCAAGGATTAATATATAAAAAATCCTGTATCATGCTAATCAATCTTGAAAATGTAGAGTGGTGGGGTGATTGGTGACAGTGGGAAGGAGCATGTATGGGTGAGATGAAGGGCTGGGACCCCTGGAAGAGTTTATGTCAGACAGCCAGGTTCATGGGGTCTCTGACCACTGGCTCTAAACACGGAAAAATGATTCCACGTTAAAGCGGAGTCACCACTACACCCAGTAAGGATTTGGGCCTCCCGTCTGCTTCCCCCTCCCGCCCCACTGCTGATTGGAGGGCCGCTGCCGGTGTCTGACTCGGGGACTGACCCATGCACCTCCTGTCCTGTATCAGGTCAGAGATGACAACAAGAGGCAGCACCCGTGTCTGGTGGAGTTCTCCAAGCTGCCGGAGCAAGAACGCAACTACAACCTGCAGATGTCGCTCGAGACCCTGAAGTGAGTTCTTGGCTTCCCCTCCCATGTAGGCTCCCTGGAAGGGTTGAGTGTTAAGTCCTTTCACTCCGGCTGGAACTAAACCTATCGATTGACAAAGGTCAAGCAGGTTGATAACCTTGGGGAAAAGGCAATGCCGGTGGGAATGGAAATCGTTACCATTTCTATTGACATTGGCCAACCTGGTTAAACTTGAAAGTGTATGTGCCCTGTGATCCAGTAGCTCCGCATCTAGGGGCCGATCCTATCGATGAAGGACATAGTGCATGTGTTGCATGCGTGAGGCTGTTCCTGGCAGCACTGTCTGTAATAACCAAAGGCTGTAGGCAGAGCATTGGGTAAAGCCATCATGACATGTCCAGCTGATGGAACCCTTCAAAGCTGTTGAAAAATGAACCAGCTTTAAAGAAATGACAGGATTTCAAAGTGAAATTGTAAAGTCAAGATAGAAGATTGCAGAGAACTGTCTGCTGTGTATACAGCGTGCACACACATGCACATGCACACGCATGTCTTCCTTAGTGCAGTACACGCTCTAGCAGGACAGAAGAATTGGGAACTGTTGGTGCTTTTAGGGGGAAAAGGGCTAGAGCAGCGGTTCTCAACCTTCTGGACCTTTAAATACAGTTCCTCATGTTGTAACCCAACCATAAAATTTTATTTTCGTTGCTACTTCATCACTGTCATGTTGCTACTCTTATGAATCGTCATGTAAATATCTGATATGCAGGATGGTCTTAGGCGACCCCTGTGAAAGGGTCGTTCTACCGCCAAAGGGGTCGCAACCCACAGGTTGAGAACCACTGGGCTAGAGGAAGGGACTTAGCAGGACTGTTCGGTGTCTGCCTTTGGCGCCATTTCGGTTTCCACTCTGTTACTCATCACTCAGAAGTGAACAGCGTATTAATAAATGAGTGTCTTTAGAAACACGTGTGCTCTGCGTCCGGGAGAACTGTTACCCCTCGTTTCCATCCGCGGAGGAGCTGAGCCCTCGGGCTCAGGGGAGGACTGTTTTTAGCTCTGCTTTTGTTTTCCAGGACCTTGTTGGCATTAGGATGCCACGTGGGTATATCGGATGAACATGCTGAGGAAAGGGTGAAAAAGATGAAGCTCCCCAAGAAGTAAGCTGAACATCTAACAATATTCAGTAGTCCGTTGTGTCAAACATACATCAATTCATCCAACCTGCTTCTAGTGAAAGCCTGCCGGGTGCCAGGCACTGGTCTAGCAAGCGCTGCTCTAGGTTCCGGGGCAGTCAGACTCCTGCTGTCGGGAGCTTACGTGGCGCCGATGCCACCCAGAGCCCAGAGCAGTTAGGAGAGGAAAGGCGACTTACCGTTTTATTTAAAGAGCATTTTCCCAAGTTCTGATCATTTATTCTTTTACCTTAGCATAATTATCTGGTGAATTTTCTTTTGTGCAAAAGGATAATCTTTGAGATGGACAGGTGTGTATGTTTATCTTAGTAAATAAAGTTAGTTCTTTCAAAAACTGTGGCTTGAAAGGCTGCTGTGTGCCCTGCGCTGCTGTAAGCCCAGAGGCGATTAGAAAAGTGGGTGGTGCCCACCCCGAGGCACAGTGGTTGTAGGGCATGCAGTCGAAAGTGAGAGGAACAGCTGTAAGTGCTGGGGACCAACCTTGGCGGTTAGACAAGGAGACAGTTGTGTGTCTGTGTGGGGTGGGCAGTGCTAGCGCCCACATACCATGTGTTGAAAATTTTACATTTTCAATTTTATATTTCTTCCAAAAGATTAAAACTTTATACTCACTTAGTACCTTTTCTCTCCAGCTCAGGGTGCAGAAATAGTCTCTGGTAAGAGTCCCTGAGGAACCCAGGCCTTCATGTTTTGGATGGCTGTGGGTTTCCTAGTCTCCCTGTTAGCGAGGGCTTCCTAAATTATGTACGCAGGAATAATCTGCAGATGCGTTAGAATTTTCCTAGTGTCTGTAGGATACATACACAGCTTTATTGATTAAAGATTACGTTAGCAAAACATTTATAAGTTGAAAATGAGAATTTTGGTTGAGAAACGCATTGAATGTTCTCACTGATAACCAGTAGTTTGATTTGTATTAAGCCTGGACTCTTAGGACACACACAATGATAATTTGTTCTCCATTTTGAGAGACAGGTGAGCTGTTGCATTTGGCTTATTGGTGAAAAACAAAACCATAAAGGTGGTCTGATCCTTCCTCCTAATGAGTAATGGGCTTGAGTGGAGGGACCCGGGCTTGCTGAAGCTGTGTTACCCGTGGTCACCACTGTGGTTATGGACCCTTAGAAGTGGGTGGGGCCACGCAAAGACTATTACAGGGATGTTTAAACCTTGACTTTTCTGGGAAGGCCCATTATATGCGTGTTTTGCTTCACTCTACAGTTACCAGCTGACAAGTGGCTACAAGCCGGCACCGATGGACCTGAGCTTTATCAAACTCACCCCGTCCCAGGAAGCAATGGTGGACAGACTGGCAGAAAATGCTCACAACGTGTGGGCCCGGGACCGGATCCGGCAGGGCTGGACCTACGGCATCCAGCAGGTACTTGGGATTGACTGCCTATTTTTAAAGCTACGTGAGGTCCCAGAATGGCCTTTTGTGACATACGGGGTTTTCGCTTAAGAAGGGACAGCAGCCTTACGTGGTCTCTTGACTGAGAATCCCTGGCCTGCTAATGTGGCTCTTCTCAACACCAAGACTTGTCAGCCTACTGTGCGGGGAAATTGCATGTTCTCTACGTTAGCCCATTGCCTGCGACCATGGCAGAAGGTAGACGCTGAAAGAGGCCCTTCAGGTGGCTTTCGTTATCGCTGTGGCTATTTTTACTTTTTCTTCTCGCGGAGAGGTCTCGCTTTATATTGATGCAGACCTTCATGTGATGAACTCTGTGTTGGTCCTGTTCTGGTAACTTCTGGAGCCCGAGGAGACCAAGGGGATGGGAGGGGCAGCGTTTACCCTCAGGGCCTTGGCGTGCTGTTCTCTTTCAATGTTGTTGTATTTCCTGTCTAATTTCCTCAAGCTGTTGGCATTACTTTGCTGACCGCACCTTTTTCTCCCCGTAGGACGTCAAGAACAGAAGAAACCCACGCCTTGTGCCCTACACCCTTCTCGATGACAGAACCAAGAAGTCCAACAAGGACAGCCTCCGGGAGGCGGTGCGCACGCTGCTGGGGTACGGGTACAGCCTGGAGGCGCCCGACCAAGACCACGGTACTGCAGGCTCCCTCTGCTCCCTCTGCTGGCAACGTCACGGGCAGGGTGTAGAGCCAAATAAGTGAAAAAGGGAGCACAGACAGAGTCCTGTAGTGCGTGATCTCGTACGCAGTGTGCAGTTTAGAGCAGCGGTCGCCCACCTTTCGGACCTCACGGACCACCAGTGGTCTGCTGGCTGGTGACTGCTGGTTTAGAGCACCTTTTCCCGAAGGATTAGACCGTCTCGTGGGAGCGTGGCCCAGACCACAGTGTTTACTTCCTGAAGAGTCTAAGGAGGCTCCCTGGTTCCGACATTGCCCCCATCCTACCCGCCAGCGGTCCTTGTAAGAGCTGGGTTTAGATGTTTATGGGAATATATTGTAGTGGGATCTAGTGTTTTCTAAGCCTTCATTATTTATACTCATTCATGTAGGCAATATTAATTAGAGCAATATTTTGCTTTAAGGAAAACGCATTAGAATAGGCAATAAGTATGTGTTGAGTATATGGACTTTTTTTTTTAAATCCTCAACCTGTTGGTGTACATTCTTATGGTCACCTGGCTTCAAGGGTCTATGGCTGAGGTTTCTCACTCCTGGCTCTCTCAATCCACATGTGTCCACTCTCAGTTCACGTGTGTCCACTCTCAGTCCGTGTGTATCCACTGTCAATCCACATGCATACACACAATCCATATGTGCCCAATCAGTCCACGTGTATGCACTCTCAGTCCATGTGTGTCCTGTCTCAGTCCACATGTGTCCATTCTCCATCTACTGTGTCCATTCTCAATGCATGTCTGGGGTGGAGAACAATGTTTTTCCCTTTATACTGTACTGATTCTGATGTCAGACTTGACCCTTTTACTTTCTTAAACACAATGTGTGTGTGTGCAGCACATTAAGGTGAAGATGTGGGGGAGAGGGAGTTTTGCCCTCACCCATGCTGCCAGGGAGTGTGTGGATGGCGACCCTTCCCTGCTTTTTATAGCTTTCTGTCTCCTCCCCATTGCCTGGCTGCTTCTTTCCTCTTCTCTCTCACCGGCCAATGTCTCTTCATTTCTTATGGCCAGTGGTTTCAGTCTCTTGTGCTCTTTCTATCCATACCTCGCGCTTATCTCATCTTCCGCTACCAAACCACCAACAGCTGGTAGGTCTTTGCACAGACAGACATTCTCTCCTGCAAAGGTACCACCCGCACCATCACCGCGTCACCAGCTCGCCCCAGCCTCGTGCAGAAGCCAGTGCTCTCTTCGCCTTGCTGGCTTGTGGGCTGCCCATCCTCATGAACACACTTAGTACATGTGCACCAGATGGGCATAGAGTATCATTAGCACATCACTGTGGGCGTAGTTATAAAGTTATGTGGTATCTGCCCCCCTTTCAGTGTTCCCTGTGATCACAGACTCTCCTTACATTCCCAGCTGCCCGAGCAGAAGTGTGCAGCAGCCCCGGGGAACGGTTCCGGATCTTCCGGGCTGAGAAAACCTACGCCGTGAAGGCGGGAAGGTGGTACTTTGAGTTCGAGGCTGTCACTGCTGGGGACATGCGCGTTGGCTGGAGCAGGCCAGGCTGCCAGCCTGATCAGGAGCTGGGCTGCGATGAACACGCCTTCGCCTTTGATGGCTTCAAGGTGAGTGGGCACCAGGCAGCAGCCATGGGGTCGGAGGCATCCTCCCTGCCGGGCCTGGCTTTCCCCGGAGGCCCCAGGGAGCACAGCGAGCACAGTGACACAGCCCTTTCCAGAGCACACGTTGGGAAGATGGTTCCCAGGGAAGCTCCTGCCCTTGTATTTTCAAAACATTGTTCTCCACTCACAAACACAGGAAATGCCTTGTCAAAAAGATGAAGCACCGTGTCTAACAAAAGTGTTAAAAATACATATACTCACTAAAATGCATACACTTTGACACAGCAATTCCATGGGAAAAAATCCATCCTCAAAGAATAATGAATGATAGGTAGACACCTTTAATAACTGTAAGAATACCTAAGGCAATGCGGTTTATAATCACAGAAAGTTTCCATTTTCAGCATCGTTAGGCATTTTCATTTCTTTGGCTCTGGGGAAGTTTATTTTATTTATGCATCATATAAATGTTTGAATATTATTTTATCCGTATAAAATATTAAAAATTGTGACTATGTTATTTTATTTTATCTGTATTATTTTATCTGTATAAAATATTAAAAATTGTGACTATGTTATTTTATTTTATCTGTATTATTTTATCTGTATAAAATATTAAAAATTGTGACTTTCATACTATGATTCATAGTATGAACATAGTCACAATAGACTAATAGTCATTTTTGCTGATAAAATAGATCTTTTTATTCTTTTATTTGTTTTCTCTGATTTTCCTTCAGTGGACTTCTGTTCCTTTTTATATGAGGGACATTTAATGGGGAAAAGGGAATTAGAATAAATGAGTGATCATGTGGGAGTTTGGCCGGGGGCTCTCAGGCACCCATGGAGGGAGAGCACTTCTAGGCTAGAAACTAGCACTGTGTCCTCCAGGGCAGTTGACCCTCTTTGTTCTGAAATGTCTTATCTTTATTTTTCCTGAATTCTGCTTTTTTACTTCAGATGGGACAGTTGAATACCTTGTGAGACCTGATTTAGTTAAATAATTTTTCTAAAAACTAAGTATTATTCTTGAGAAGAATCATATTATTGTTTTGCATTGGTGACTGTATCTCATTACATATTAGATCACGGTGAAGGTGACATTTAGAGTAAAGTTAAAAGATTTACCTGGCAAATTAATATCACTGCTTTTGTACCTATAGATCAATAGAAGGTGGGGCAAAGGTTTACAGTTGTTTGTATGGAAAATAAGATAATAAATAATAATACAAAAATAAACTCGTGTGTACTCACAACTGTAAACTTACTTTTGCCCCACTTTGTATATTGGAGTGCTTTAAGATTTCCATTTTGTTATATATTGGTGCCATTGTTCCAAGGAATGGAACTTTATTTTGAAATGGATGAAAACTAGAATGTCATTCAATGATAAATTCCCAGCTTGTACTTCATAATTCTTTGTACTTAGGGGAGTAGAGAGAAACCACCCGTGTCCCAGGAAGCGTTCATTGTAGGGAGAAAAATAAAATGTGAAAGACAGAGTTTTCTTTTGAATAGAAAGTATGCGGAGTAGGTTTTTAAAGTGATAGATTCTCAAAATGATGAGATAGCATTTGGGCTTTTCTCGAGTCAGTGCACAGTGTTGCCATTAGGGACTTAGGACTCCCAGGTCCCAGCTTTTGGTGGGGGTGGGGAGAGGAGGGCTGCTGTGGGTCCTACAGGCAGTGGGGGTGCGTTCTCCTGGCTTTCTTGGTGACAATGACTCTTCTGTCCCCAGGCCCAGCGGTGGCACCAGGGCAATGAGCACTATGGTCGCTCCTGGCAAGCAGGCGATGTCATGGGGTGCATGGTGGACATGACAGAGCGCACCATGATGTTCACACTGAATGGCGAAATCCTCCTTGATGACTCAGGGTCAGAACTGGCTTTTAAGGACTTTGATGTTGGTGACGGTAAGTGTGTTGGGGGCGGCACAAGGAGGCTCTCTGTTCTGATGCCCATGACCCCATCTTTGGTTGAGGGTGAGGGCAGAGGAGCTGCTGCTGGCAGTCGCATGGGCACCCTGTTTGATCAGACACCCTTGACTTTGCTCTAGCAGAGGCCTCTTAGCACTACTGAGCTAAGGCAGAAGTGGCTTCTTAAACATGCGTAAGAAAATAAATGGCAGGCCAGAGGCTCATTTTCCACAAATGTTTTTTTATTTAGTATTTCCCTCTGAGCTGCTTATAGCTTCTGTCTGCTCATTCATTTCATAAAAATGTAATGAGAGCCTCCCGTTCAGGCCCTCTGCTGGATGCTGAGAGGACAAAGATGAATAAACACTATTCTTTCTTTATGTGGTGACAGTATACCAGGGAGCCCACACTTGCGTGATTTCTGATCAGTGAGAAGTTTGAAATAAAGGGATGCCCAGTGCAGGGAGCAGGCAGCTCTGCTGTGGCTCCGAGGTGACCTGGGCAGGGAGGTAAAAGATGAAAGTCCTTTGTGAGGCAAACACTTCCAGTAAGGGGGCCCCTGGCCACACGGGGCTATTTTAATTTACATTAAGTTAAAAATTGAGTTTCTTGCCTGGCCACTGTGGCTCGATTCCTGGTCAGGGCTCATGCCCAGGGATCCTGGAGGATTGGCTGCTTAGCATGCATCTCATGTACAGAATCCAAGATGAGGAGGGACTGATCCAGAGGTTGCAGTTAGTGAATTATGATGCTGAGATCGAATACTGCCCTTCTGACCTTACGTCTAATACTTAGCATCGGTTCTCTCTTTCTGGAGCAACACTTGTGATCATTCCGTACTAACAGGCTCTTATACTAATGGAACTGAAGGTTTTGATTCTTCTCTCTTCCAGGGTTCATACCTGTGTGCAGCCTTGGGGTGGCTCAGGTGGGAAGGATGAACTTTGGAAAGGACGTGAGCACCTTGAAGTATTTCACCATCTGTGGCTTACAGGAGGGCTACGAGCCATTCGCCGTTAATACAAATAGGGATATTACCATGTGGCTAAGCAAGCGACTTCCTCAGTTTCTCCAGGTTCCATCAAACCATGAACACATTGAGGTTTGCTTTTTCTTAAAATATCAGACAATTGCCAAAAAACAGGATTAGAGTATCTTTACACATGTGAGTTTTACTTGGACAATTACTGTCACTGACTTAAAATGGTGACCCCGATGTGTTACACAGAAATAGAATTAAGCATAAGCTCAGCCTTGATTTTAAACACTTTACGAGTAGCTGACTAGACTGATGAGGAATAGTTAATTTTCTTTTTTAGAGGCAATCTCAGGCTCAGTCTGAGGAGATGCCGTTATAACATGGATTTCCCAAACCCTCTTCTGAGTTAGAAGCAGAACTATGGGTATATCTGCAACACAGTCTCGCTATACTCAATCGTCTAATTTACAAAATCACACCACTTGTGGCTGCGTTTGGGGTTTTAAAGACAGGAAATGCGTGGTCTTTAGAACCCCCGAATCCACAGTGATGGCTGGAATTGAGCTATTGCTTCTCTGTGTGCTAGGTGACCAGGTTAGATAGAACCGCCAAATCCACAGTGATGGCTGGAATTGAGCTATTGCTTCTCTGTGTGCTAGGTGACCAGGTTAGATAGAACCCCCAAATCCACAGTGATGGCTGGAATTGAGCTATTGCTTCTCTGTGTGCTAGGTGACCAGGTTAGATAGAACCGCCAAATCCACAGTGATGGCTGGAATTGAGCTATTGCTTCTCTGTGTGCTAGGTGACCAGGTTAGATAGAACCGCCAAATCCACAGTGATGGCTGGAATTGAGCTATTGCTTCTCTGTGTGCTAGGTGACCAGGTTAGATAGAACCCCCGAATCCACAGTGAAGGCTGGAGTTGAGCTATTGCTTCTGTGTGTGCTAGGTGACCAGGTTAGATAGAACCCCCGAATCCACAGTGAGGGCTGGAACTGACCTATTGCTTCTCTGTGTGCTAGGTGACCAGAATAGACGGCACCGCGGACAGCTCTCCGTGTTTAAAGGTCACTCAGAAGTCCTTCAGTTCCCAGAACAGCAGCACGGACATCATGTTCTACCGGCTGAGCATGCCCATCGAGTGCGCAGAGGTCTTCTCCAGGACGGCCGCCGGGGGGCTCCCGGGTGCCGGCCTCTTCGGGCCCAAGAGTGATCTGGAGGATTACGACGTGGATTCTGATTTTGAGGTTCTGATGAAGACAGCTCATGGCCATCTGGTGCCCGATCGAGGGGACAAAGACAAAGAAGCTACGAAACCAGAGTTTAATAACCACAAAGATTACGCGCAGGAAAAGCCCTCTCGTCTGAAACAAAGGTCGCTGATCTCTGCAAAGGGATTCAGAGTGAGCTCGTTCTGTGGGGAGGGCTGCTGTGGAGGCCAGGCATTTCCCACGTCAGTTTTTTCTTTCTCTTCGCCCTTCTTCATGCACAGAGGATTCTATAGGGGCAGTTAAGCACCCTGTTTGTCATCTGACTTGTTACCACAGATGTACTCTATCCCGAGTTACTTTTTTATGCCTTTTCATTTTGGTAAAATAACAAAAACAAAAACAAGAAAATTTATCATCTTAACCACTTTTCAGTTCACTTACAAATTTTAAGCGTACAGCACAGTTGAGTGAACAGTAGTGTTAGGTGTGATCACATTGTTGTGAAACATCTTCAGCACGTTTTCATTTTGCAAAAGTGAAACCCTATACCAGGGGTCCTCAAACTTTTTAAACAGGGGGCTAGTTCACTGTCCCTCAGACCGTTGGAGGGCCAGACTATAGTTTAAAAAAAACTATGAACAAATACCTATGCACACTGCACATATCTTATTTTGAAGTAAAAAAACAAAATGGGAACAAATACAATATTTGTATTTGCATGTGGCCCGCGGGCCGTACTTTGAGGACCCCTGCCCTATACCCATTAAACAAGTCTCCTTTCCACTCCCCCCCAGGCGCTGGTAACTACCACTCTACCTTTGGTTTCTATGAATTTGACTAATCTGGTACCTCTTACAAGTAGAATCGTACAGTATTTTTCTTTGTGTGACTGGTTTGTCTCCTTAAGTGTAATGTCCTCAAAGTTCATCCATGTTGTAGCATGTCAGACCTCCTTCCCTTTTTAAGGCTGAGTAATATTCCATTGTGTGTATAAACCACATTTTGTTTATCCATTCGTCGCTCCATTCATTGATGGATGTTTGGCTTGATTCTACCTCTTGCCTATGGTAAATAGTGCTGTTGTCAAAATGGATATAAAAATGCCCTTTCAAGACCTAACTTTCATTTGTTTTGGATATATACCCAGAAATGGGATTACTGGTAGTTCTATTTTCAAGTTTTTAAGAAATCTTCATATTGCCTTCCAGAGCTGTTGCACCATTTTATGATCTTACCACCACTATATAAGGGTTCAGAATTATTCACATCCTTGTCAACCCTGTTATTTTCTGTTTTTTTTTTTTTTTTTCATAGTAGTTATCCTAATGGGGGTGAAGTGATAGCTCATATAGTTTTGATTTGCATTTCCCTGATAATTAGTGCATATCTTTTCATATTCTTATTGGTCATTTGTAGATCATCTTTGGAGAAATGCCTTTCAAATTCTTTGTTCATTTTTGGATTGGCACGTTTGCTTTTCTGTTGTTGAGTTGTAGGTGTTCTTTACATACACTGGATATTAATCTTTAGCAGATATATGGTTTGCAGGTATTTTCCCCCAAGAGTTAGTTTTCAAAATGTCTGTATTTACTTTCTTGGTTGAAACTTAAAGAGTATTCTCTCTAAATAGTATTTTTATTGACAAGAAGGCAACCCATTTTAGCATTTTGCCTTGCACTAAATCTGAATTTCTGAGCCTCAGCGTGCTCTGGGTTAGATAACTGTTTGTTGTGAGAGTCTGCCTTGTTCATGAAACATGGTCTCCATCCACCAGATGCAGATGGCACACACTTGGCCCCCATCCCATGTTATGACAACCAAACATATCTCCAGATGTTGCCAGACATCCTTGGGGGAGTGAAATCGCCCTGGTTGATAATCACTGAACTAAGCTGATTATTTGCTTATGTTTGAAGGAAGCAGAACTTTTACTGTTGCTTACTCCCAGGTCTGTCATATTTTCAGATTTTTGCTTAGAAAAACAAAGCCGGATTACAGCACGAGCCATTCCGCGAGGCTCACTGAGGACGTCCTTGCGGATGATCGAGATGACTACGACTACCTGATGCAGACATCCACGGTACGAGGCTGCAGCTCTTGTCATTTACGTCAGGCTGTCACTCATCCCATTTTACATTTCAGTCCACTTGAGTCGTCATACTTAGCAAGCTTATTTTTAAAATAATTTTTTCTTATTTGGGGAGGGGATTAAAAGTTGAAAAATATATGGATATGCAGTAAAAGAGCTATTTTAGGGAAAACAGCCTATTTTTTTTTTCTTGGCAAAATTTGAATTTGTGATCTAATTTCTCCAAGGACATATAATTTCTTTCATCTTTGTGATATGTCTAAAAGAAGATCATTTATATTTTGTTAGAGGTCAAGTTTTGCTCTGTGCCATTTAAAGTTTTCAAAACAACTAAATGCCAAATGGAAAAAATAGGTAGTAGTGTCCCTCAAGTACTCCCATGTTTGAGATTGATTTTCACATATTAGATTGGAGCTATTTCAAAGTGATTTTAAGGTGTGGAAATAAGACAGATTAGTGGTAGGAAAGACGGGCCTATTCACAGGTGTAGAACTCCAGCATCGATTAGCACACTGTAAGCCGGCAGAATTCGAAGCTTACCTGCCTGATGGGTGATGATTGTATTGCATAAACACCGTCTATATGTACAATACATATGGTGTGCATATTGTGTGTGTCCTTCCACAGTCATGCACACACACTCGGGAGTATAAGAGCCTTGCACCATTTAGCACGTCTGCTCAGAGAGAGACTTCTCTGTGCCCATTATTTCTAGTTGAACTCCAGATCTTTGCTTTAAGGCTCTTCTTATTTTGCAGTGTTAGTCTTTGGTGTCAGTGACACTTCATTAGGCTCAGTGATTTTCAACAACTTTATCCTTCAACAGTTCAAGGGCATTGCAGTTCAGATTGGTTTGTGTTACGTTGCCAATGCCTGCCTTGCTGTCTTCACAGTACTATTACTCGGTGAGGATCTTCCCTGGACAGGAGCCGGCCAGCGTCTGGGTGGGCTGGGTCACGGCCGACTTCCACCAGTACGACACGTGCTTCGACTTGGACAGAGTTCGCACCGTCACCGTGACTCTGGGAGATGAAAAAGGGAAAGTGCACGAGAGGTTGGTTTTCCTCCCTTTCTCACAAGGGACAGCTGATGGAAATGTTGATAAACCTAGGAATTCTCTTGCTTGGATTTCATACCCGGGGTATTATTTCTACTTATCGAAACGATATAGTCAAAACCTTAATGTCAGTGTCCTTTCTGTTGCTCAAACAAGCCAGTGAGGAATCTGAGTATTTAAAAGTGAAAACCGTTATAAAGTGAGGGCAGCGCATCCCTTTTCGGGTAACAGTTGTGTTCCTTCAGCTGACATCGCACATGACTAACAACTCGGGCTGCGAGTCGCAGCCTTTGTGCCAGGGATTAGGATGGGGAAGGTGAGACAGGTAGCATGTGGTCTGACACGCATCCTGGGACCTGGTTTGTGGGGGGAGACGATTGAAGACTTGAGGGGCTAGTGGTGGAGACCAGGGGGGCATGTTTCAACTCCGACTGAGGAGCAGTGGGTTCTTTCCTCAGCCTGGCCATTGATTCGCTGTGTGGCTTTGGGTAAGTCAGTTCCACTTTCTGTGCCATCCTTTTCATCTGTAAAACAAGCCAAACTCAAACCAAACCTTCAAAAAAGTGAAGAAGGCCGTTTTCCTTGCCGAAGTAGACAAGAGAAGACCTGACATTGGCACCTACCTCTGTGCCCATGCGTCCCCTGGTCCTCCATGCGTTGCTTTTATTTTATGGCTGCACCTCATTTTTGGTGACTGCCTTTAGGTTTTAACACCCGAAACATTAGAACTTAGACCTTGAGGCAGTGGGCTGGCAAAACTCTCCAGTGAGGAATGCTTCTTGTCAGCGTGGGCGCCCCAAACCGCCTATCTCCAGGAATATTCTTGGGGGACATATTTGATTTTCAGAGAAGGTGATAGTATAAGGGAAGCTGGGGTTGGGCCACCTAATCGATGACTCTGTTGTGGGAATAGTTGAGGGAAGGGTGTTGAGTCTTACGTACGCAGTGCAAAGAAGCACAGCTGACCTGATTATCCAGAAACTGACCAGCTCACCTTTTTTTAAATTCTTATTTTTTAATCTTCACCCGAGGATATTTTTCCATTGATTTTTAGAGACAGTGGAAGACAGAGGGAAAGACAGAGAGAAACATCGATGTGAGAGAAACACATAGATTGGTTGCCTACTACACACGCCCTGACCAGGGCCCGGGCTTGGCGGGGAGCTTGCAACTGAGGTACTTGTCCTTAACTGGAATTGAACCCAGGACCTGACATCCTGTCCACTATCCAGACTGGCTAGGGCCATCTCACCTTCTTGTTCTTTGCCTGCCTGTGGCCTGTTTTTCCCCTGGCCTCATTAATCTATCTGCTATCTGGTGGCAGACAAAGTGAAAATAACAGTTTTGTTGCCATCTCTGGTGAAGGTTTTGCTGAGAGTGAAACTCAGGTGGGTTGTTAACACTGATTTTGTGCGTATTCCAGCTGAGTCTCTCTCATAGCAGATCACCAGGAAGTGTCCGTAAGGGGGCATGCTTTCAGCCAAATGGTAAATGTATTGAATGACTGGTGCTCAGGTGAATTTGCCTGAGGACTCTGATAGTGTTAAACAGGAATGCTTCTCATCTCAGAACAGTGGTTACACACACACACACACACACACACACACACACACACACAATACCTCTGAGCATGAAAATTATAAATTTGGATGATTATTAAATAAACTTCTTTGAACCTCAGAAAAAGATCCAGTTTGGTTTGAGTTTTTGGAGGGAAGGTGCAGGTCAGTACTTATGTGGTTCCAGCTTGTTGACCCGTCTCCATCAGGTGTCAATCAGGGGCGTGTGTGACCTGATCGAGAGCGTCCACCGGTCAGCGAGGCTCGGGGTCAGGCTCGGGCCCACGTGCACCTCCCCCACCACAGCATGAGCTTGTTGCTTGCGCAGCATAATCTAGGTTTAGTCTGCGAGATCTACATGCTTCTGTGACGCCTGTGGTTGTACAAAGATAAAACTGTTTTTGAAATTCAGCATCAAACGCAGCAACTGCTACATGGTGTGTGCGGGCGAGAGCATGAGCCCCGGGCAGGTCCGCAACAACAACGGGCTGGAGATCGGCTGCGTGGTGGACGCCGCCAGCGGGCTGCTCACCTTCACGGCCAACAGCAAGGAGCTGAGCACCTACTACCAGGTACCGTCTGTGGGCGCTGCTTCTCCGCAGGGAGGTGTTAACCATTAGAGGAAAGCACAGTCTGTAAGATGGAAAAGCAAATGAGAAAAAAATGAAAACAGGCCCTGGCCAGTGTTGGCCAGTGGTTACAGCATCTGCCCACCCACCTAACGGTCTTGTGTCTGATTCCCAGTCAAGGGCATGCACCTGGGTTGCAGGTTCTGTTCCAGGTCCAGGCCAGGGCGCGTGCAGGAGGCAAATTACAGATGTGTCTCTCTCACATCGATGTTTCTGTCTCTCCCCACCTCCCTTCCACTCTCTGTAAAAATCAGTGGGAAAAATATCCTTGGGTGAGGATTAACAACAAAAAGAGAAAATGAAAACAGGACTCAATGAATTATGTATTTTCACTTCTGCTTGAATAATAGCTGTGCCTTATGCCTCTCAGAGCAAAGAGTACGTTTCTCCTTAAATATTCATGTAGCAAAGAAATGAAATGCTCCAAGTAATTGTTGAAAGACCATAATCATGTGGGAGAAAGGAAAGTCTCTGGTTCACTTTTGTGAAGTGTTCCTTAGTTGTTGTGAAGAAAATACGTGTTCTTTCTGTTTCTTCCTCTGCTAATATTGTTAAATTCGTTGGTTTTAAGGTGGAGCCAAGCACCAAATTATTTCCTGCAGTTTTTGCACAAGCTACAAGTCCCAATGTTTTCCAGTTTGAGTTGGGAAGAATAAAGGTAAGAAAGACTCATTCGTGGTATTACATTTGGATTGTGTTCGGTTAGGGAATAATATGTACTTCTTAAATTAGTACTGCTATTAATCCTATAATTTTTGAAATATATTTTTTATTGATTTCATAGAGGAAGGGAGAGGGAGAGAGAAACATCAATGTGAGTGAGGGTGTGGGTTATGGACAAGGGGGGTGACAGAACAGACAGGGAGAGAGAGCCACGTGGATGTGACCTGTGTCAGGACGTGTGGCACCGAGAGCAGCTTGGAGAGCAAACCTGGAGGATGTGGGGATGCTTTCGAGGCCAGCGAGGGTGTGGCAGAGCCACGTGCCTGCCCTGAAGGGCTAGGCGTTTTCATTCACAACATTTCTCCTTTCAGGAGCTTTTGCCCAATTTCTGCTATTTCTTGTATGGGCTTCGGGGACACACAGTGGGTCTTCCCTCTGTTGTCTGTTCTGCAGAATGCTAGCCATCGTTCCCCGGGAGTATCATAAACGGTTCTTCTGCTTTGTCCCCCAGAATGTGATGCCTCTCTCGGCGGGACTCTTCAAGAGCGAGCACAGAAACCCCGTGCCTCAGTGTCCCCCGCGCCTCCACGTGCAGTTCCTGTCCCACGTCCTGTGGAGCAGAATGCCCAACCAGTTTCTGAAGGTGGACGTGTCACGGGTCAGCGAGCGCCAGGGCTGGCTGGTGCAGTGCGTGGACCCCCTGCAGTTCATGTCCCTGCACATCCCCGAGGAGAACAGGTCTGCGCGCCCGGCACCCTCCCACCGGGCCCTCCAACTGACCACTGCCCGGGGCTCCAGGTGGCACTGGGGACACAAATTGTGTGGCTCATCTGAAGGAAGTATGGACTTTTAAGATGGGTTCTGTAGTCAAAGGAAAGACTTTGGGCATATTCAAAACCTGATTTTTGAGGTTTTTAAAGGTTATGACATGTGTCAGAAGCAGAATGGCCCGAATGAGGAGCCTGTGTAAATGTAGTTTCCCAGCAGGAACTCTCCTCACTGAAAATGTCACTATAGTGTGTGTTTCCCGAGTGGCGCAGACCTGGTGGCGTATGTGTGGGTCTGGGAGGGAGGTTGGTTAGAGGGAGGTTATGTCCCAGGAATCACCTGTTAGCTCCTCTCTCGGGCAGGCGGCAGTGCTCACAGGTCAGAGACAAGGCGCAGCCCCTGCAATCAAAGGCATTGTTCCCTGGGTTCCAGAAACCAGCCAGCCCAGTAGGGAAGGGGACTTGGGGTTTCCCAGGGAGTTCTCATGTTCTGAAAGGAGGGGGTCCCCAGGTCCAGACTGAGACCGGTATCTAAGTGGTGCCCAGAACTTCGGGGGTATGGACGATGAAGGGGGTGCAAGCACAAGAGGGTGAACATTTTCAACATAAAAGTCTTTATGGAAGAAATCTTGTAAAACACCTAGAACGGACTTTTTCTGCGTGTCGTGGAGAAGGAGTGTGGTTTGCATGAGCTCTTCTGTCCCCGTGACTGAGCATCCCCTGCCCCCGCAGGTCCGTGGACATCCTGGAGCTGACGGAGCAGGAGGAGCTGCTGCGCTTCCACTCGCACACCCTGCGGCTGTACTCGGCCGTGTGTGCCCTGGGCAACCACCGCGTGGCACACGCGCTCTGCAGCCACGTGGACGAGGCACAGCTGCTGTACGCCATCGAGAGCAAGTACATGCCCGGCCTGCTGCGCGCGGGCTACTACGACCTGCTCATCGACATCCACCTGAGCGCCTACGCCACCGCGCGGCTCATGATGAACAACGAGTTCATCGTGCCCATGACCGAGGAGACCAAGAGCATCACGCTTTTCCCCGACAAGCACAAGGAGCACGGGCTGCCGGGCATCGGCCTCAGCACCTCGCTGCGGCCGCGCATGCGCTTCTCCTCGCCTAGCTTTGTGTGCCTCAATCACGACTGCTACCAGTACAGCCCCGAGTTCCCACTGGACACGCTCAAGGCCAAGACCATGCAGATGCTGACCGAGGTGGTGCAGGAGGGCGGACTGCGCGCGAGGGACCCCGTAGGGGGCACCACTGAGTTCCTCTTCGTGCCCCTTATCAAGCTCTTCTACACGCTGCTCACAATGGGTGTCTTCCAAGGGGAGGACCTGAAGCACATCCTGCAACTGATTGAGCCCCGGGTGTTCAAGGAGGCCTCCCTGGAGGAGGAGCACCAGGCACCACTCAAGGAGCCCCACACCGAAGATGCCAGGCCCGAGGGCATACGAGGGGATGCGGCAGAGGGGCTGCTGCAGATGAAACTGCCTGAGCCTGTGAAGCTCCAGGTGAGGGGGTGAGTGGGGGGCTGCAGGTGAGCAGAGGGTGAGTTGGGGGCTGCAGGTGAGCAGGGGGTGAGTGGGGGGCTGCAGGTAAGTGGGGGGCTGCAAGGGAACAGGGGAGAAGGGGTGGGGAGCTCAGGATTGCACATGACCAAGGCACTGAAACTGGCCTGTGGGGGTTCCTGCATAGCATAGTTGTCTAGAAGATTAATGTCCAGTTGTGTTTGGGACCCATCCATCTTAGTATCCTGCTGCGACCCTCAGTCGTGGTTTCCAGCCTAAGGTGTGTTGCCTCATCTTCCTCCAGTGATCATGTCGTGACCCAGGAACACTCTCCTTGAGAAGAGGGTGTTCTAGTCTGTTGTCAATGATGGAAAGTCTTTCCCAGGAGACCCCTGGCAAGCTTCTCATATATCCCATTGGCCACAGCACCTACAGCCTCAGGAGGCCAGGACAGAGTGTCCACCAAAGGGACATGCATTTACCAGGATTCTGTGCGTAAAGGACAGTGTGCAGCTGGGCATCTCGGCCACTGACTTTTATTTGATGTCCCAGAACTCTAGAGCTTCATGACTTACACTTGGTGTCTTTGTCATTGTCTTCTTAGATGTGCCTGCTCCTGCAGTACCTCTGCGACTGCCAGGTCCGACACCGCATAGAAGCCATTGTGGCCTTTTCAGACGACTTTGTCGCTAGGCTCCAGGACAACCAGCGCTTCCGCTATAACGAAGTCATGCAAGCCCTGAACATGTCGGCCGCACTCACAGCCCGGAAGACTAAGGAGTTCAGGTCGCCCCCACAAGAACAGGTACAAGACGGAGCTGGGAACCCTCCCTGTTTACTGTTTAGCTCACCCAGGACCCAGGCCCTGCAGAGGGACAAGTGCCTTTCCCTGTTCTCCTTACACTAGCCAAGTGGCAGTAGTCAGCAGTCTTACTTTCACCCAGCAGTCTGCTTGTTTAGTTTAAACAAGAGGCTTATTAAAAGGGTGTGTCATGGCCTCTTTGAGGAGGCCAGTTTGCCAGATCCTGATGTTCTACCAATGGGAACAGTATGCAGCCCAGGGGGTCCTCATGGCCAACCTGGTTCCGTCCCAGCTGCAGGAGCCCTCCACTCCTGGACACAATGCCAGACATTTTAAAAATTTATTTATTTATTTACTTACTTTTCATTTACTGTTAATATATTATTTTTAAATTGAGAGAGAGAGAGAGAGAGAGAGAGAGAGAAGCATTGATTTGTTCTACTTATTGATACATTCATCTGTTGGGCAACATTTTACGAATACTCCAAAACAGGTTTTGAACAGCTTTGGTTTTATGATCTTTGCTGTGTTGTTCCTGAATCCACTTTTCTCTAATTCCCATTCTTCCTCTTCCTTGTTTCAAACTTTCAGATCAATATGCTTCTCAATTTTAAGGATGACAAAAACGAGTGTCCATGTCCAGAGGAAATTCGAGACCAACTCTTAGATTTTCATGAAGATCTGATGGCACATTGTGT